TTCAATTTTTCTCAGCACTGATTGGTTGTTTTCATTCAGGCCCGGTAAAAAAACCTATGAATATTATATTCCATTTCTTACAATAGATCCTCATAAATGTTACACACTGGACTTTCTGGCAGACTGCCTCTGTTTTCTATAAGTTCATTCAGAAAAGAACCTCCATCATATCAGTAGTGATCAACACTAATTGGCTGCTACCTCTGGACAGCTCTATATCAGTGTGATAAATTATTATATCGTCACCTCATTCGCACCAAGAGCGTCCATACTACCCAGACGTGTTAGCGTCTGCAAACATTAATTACATCACATGCTGCAGTTGGCGTCTGGATGTTGTCATACATTTTCAGGCGGCATGTGTCTGACATGTGTCTCAGTGTGGTGTGAAACAGGTCTGTGTTTGGCCAGACAGAGTAATGATGGGCGAGCAGTGTGAGGCCGGGCTAATCAGTCCAGAGAAACCCCATGGGAGCTCCTGGAGTGGACGGATGTCTCTTATTTTTGCTATCTGCTTGGAGGAAAGGCAGTGCTGCCATCCTGGCAGCCAGGTTGACTCTTCCAATAATAGCTGTTTACTAAAGTGTGCATTCTAAGCTATATATGTGCTTGTTTCCATTGTTTCTCTGGTAATTAGTAGGCTGCTCCTGAGCGTTAAGCTGCATCTGACCCTCCGGTTGAACCTCATGTTTGGTCTTTGGCAAGCACTCCTGGAACATACTTCACATAACAGTGGGAAATTACACTGCTTCCAACTTTCCCATTTAGTGTCAGTGTGAAGTAATGAGCATGTGCAGTTGTGACTCCAAACACAGTCAGTTTCTTAAAGCTATAATATGCAACATTTCCGCATTCAAATATATATAAACACTAGGCCATGTTGTTGAGTTGTGTTCTTCCATTATCCCAAATGTTTCCAACAATGTTCCAAGAGAAATCTGTCATTTTATTCAGGTAACGCTGCGTTTCACCAGTCGCCTGTCAATGGCGTCATATCCCCTTTGTGCATGTGTCAGCATTGTGGTTCTCTTCAGATTGGATGAAGGATTTTAGTCATCGGAGGTCTGGATCTTAAGTTATCAGAGAAACAAGCTGAGCTAACGTTAGCAGCAGTGATTTTAGCAGTTTTATTCAGTGGGTCTGTTTGTTTTGAAGAGGTGGAGACCTCCTCAACGATGAAGACTGAAGGAATCCTAACCAAGAGAAGCTGACTGCAACCCCTAGTGGCAGAAATTACACATTGTAGGTTTAAGCCTCTGATGTTTTTGCTTCTTGAACACAAAAGCAGTAGAGGTGCTTTGTGAGCAATCCTTTCCTGTGGTATTTATTCTGTCCTCAGAGCTGCTCTAATAATGAAAGGAAAAATATCTTAAGCCTTGCCATGTTCCTTGTTGGGATTAGAAACAGATCTCACAGATTGCATTGAGACTCATTAATAAAACATGGTTACGTCAGCTTCAGACATTACTGTGTTTGAGATGAAAGTCTTTAAAATATAGGCTCTTAACAAGGACATCAATTCTACAGTAATAATGTTTTACATAGTGAAACACAAATGTTTTGGGGGTGAAATAAGAAGTTGCTTTAACTTTCAAGTGTCTTATTCTCTCAACTTGACGCTATTTTCTGAAGACGGTGCTTATAAATTATGCACCGTAAGCCGCAGACAGCCTTTACTTTAAATGATTGTTTACTGAGCTTTAAAAGAGCCGGGATGAAGCTGGATGTAGCAAAGAAAAATAAAAGGAGTTTCAAAGTGAAGCTCAAAGTAGAGCTATTTAAGGCATTCCTGGCTCTATGGTTCTCTTTTATCTGAATGTACAGTGTGCAGTGGGGGATTAGCATAGTTTAGACGTATTATACTTCGAGGTGAATACAATAGATATTACATCAAGGAAATAATGCATGTGGGGAAACTGCTAAATCTGATCACAGTGCTTTATCTGACATCCTGTGGAGCAAATTCTCTCATGTAGCTGTTTTTAATTACAAGAAATAAGCTTCATGTTTCAGCTGAAATTCTCACAATGAAATGTAATGAACTGGCTGTGTGTGTGTGTGTGTGTGTGTGTGTGTGTGTGTGTGTGTGTGTGTGTGTGTGGCACAAGTGTATTCATAACAGGATGCCGTTATGCCGTTATTTTTTGGTATTTACTGTTGTTTTGTTGACATAAATTGGGTTCATGTCCTCAAAGTTAAAAAACAAAGCTTCATTTCATGGCATTGTGAATATGAAGAATATGCAAATGTTCTGTACTGTATATAAGCCAACCAAGGTTTATTGAGTTGAAAAACAAAAGCTCTTTGTCAGTGGCTTTTCTTCAAAGGGCACAGAGTGAAGTTTGGCGTGTGTGTGTGTGCTCGAGCAGTTCATGCTAATATGTGGATAAAAGCAGCAGGGTGAGACGGCTTTGGGTCTGACGTGGAGGCGATGGGGAAGCTGACGAGCTCTTGGCGCTCTATAGTGCCGCAGCAGCTTGCCTCACGGTGTGTTCATCCGCTGACTGGGCTCCATGTGGAGCAGCTGGGCTCACTGCTACACGCTCAGCAGTGGGGGGGCATTTCAGTCTCTGTGGGACCTGCAGTGTGGCGAAGAATGTCAGTGATCACTGTGATGGCTGTCACGTCAGCGGCCTGATGACGCAGGCATGGTCTGCTGCAAATCGGCTAATTGGAAGCAAAAAAAAGTGGGCCTTTTTTTTTGCATCAACATAAATGTGAGGTTTAGAAATATGAAATGCATTCAGTTATGGGAATTTAATGGGTTTCTGGTTTAACACATGTTTTATGTTCATTTCCCTCAGTTGATGATATTGAAATGATGCCATTTTTCCTCTGACTAATTGGATGGCAAAGTGGGGATGGTTTGGAATAGGAGCCATTACTGGAGTTTTATTTTGGTTGGCTTTCACTGAATAACTAAAATGGCTAGTTAATAATGACAACTGATTTAATTTACAAAGCTATTCATGAAGCCATCCAGTGTTAGCTTCATTAAACAATATTACTTTCATAGTGATCAGCTTTGTGTCAGTGAATGGAATAATGTGTCTGCTCCATAAGGTATTTTCCCAAACCTCATGTTTCAATTCACAGAGCTGCAAAATGGGAAGAGCATCTGGTAAACTGGAGCCAGTAGAGGTGACGTACTGCAAGTTGAGCTGCTCTCATTGGCTGCGCAGTTTCGACTCATCTGTACCAGAAAACAATGGTGGCTCATATTCCAGATAGTACACCAAAATCTGTTTCTGAAATGATTTGGAGTTTGGTGTGTGGAGCTGGACAGACTCACTGAGTATGACCTGTCAATCACAAGGTAGCCACACCCTAAGACATACCCTGCTTTATGGTCTATTTTACTCTAAATGGGACCATCATTTACTAAATGAACATCATGCTGTATGGAAGAAGACTGAAACTAAAGATTGAGACCATAAAGTCATTAGGAAACGTCGGCTCATTTCTTCACACTGCATGGTATAATTTTATGTGGTAGCCAATGGCGCTGCCCCCTGCTGGTCATTACATAGAATGCAGGTTTCAAGACACTTCTGTGTTGGCTTCATTTCACAGTCTCGGAAGATCTGTCAATTATATATACTGTCAATGGTCCAAACCACTATGGTGGCACACAAGCACATATCTTAATCCTGGCTGGATGGATTCTTGGATGATCTTCGCCTCACAAGGATAGATATCGTCAGTGTTCCTCAACATAGTGATACAGCAGTCTCTTAATGTTATGGTCTTTTTCGCCTTTGTTTCTGAGAAACTATGTTTTTCCCATCAGTTTCATTTGACCGGTGGTTGTTACAATAAATACAAGGCTGCTAAAGGTTTTATTGGGCTTCTGCAAAGTGTAAACTTTAGTTTCCGCTTGCTGTTCACTGTACACATAGAATTTTAAGTTTGGTGACTGCATTTTTAATTTCGAAATGTTCTTTGGGAGTTGTACATGCTAAGGAATAGTTGCACCGTCGGTCCACCACTAGTCTAGACTTATTCTATTTCTCCTGGGAATGAATCAAACTGACAGGCACAAAACTTCGTGTAGATATATATCTAGATGATGAATGCTAGTGACTTATGTGAACTTCTGACTTTCTCTAGTGCCACCATGAGCTTTACATTTTTCTTTCAGAGTAATATTTGGTACTAGGGATGGGAAGACAACTGGTTCCAGTTGAACTCATGTGTCTACGTTGTTGGATACTTGTAACAAGGAATCATGGAAGAGAGTAAGAAGAGGTCCAAAGCGTGGCCTCATTTCACGAAGAAACTCAAACAACAAATAAATAAATACATCTACTCTTTTTCTACCCTGTGTTCAGACTTAGACAGAAACTGCGAAGGTCATATTAAACATGAGCATATTAGCATTGTTAGTGTGAGCTGATGTTAGCATTTAGCTCAAAGCACCTCTGTGCCAGTGCGTGAGAATGACCTCACAGAGCCACTGGTGTGTGATTTTTAATCTGGAACCAGGATGTGATGATTCAACCTGGACAGTTTGTGCTGCAGCTGCCTCCTATCACACAATGTATGGAGAGAATGAATGGGACCTCTTTCCACCTTGCTGCTCCAGTGTGGCTCGTGGAAGCCTGTAATATGTTCATAAATGCTGATTCTTTGTCAGTCTGTCACATTTCTTGTTCACAGACCTATCTGTGGACTGCCATTCTAATGAAAACTTTTATTTATAGAATGAACTGTAACTTCTCCCCAGACCTGAGTAAAAAAGTTTCCAATCATAAAACGGGCTACTGTATTCTGGTAACGTGACTGCACCTCTTTAGTCAGCTGTAGAAATCTTAAAGGCGCCTTTGAGGCCTGGTGCAGTCTGCCATATGTTTCTGTGTGTATTCACTGCACTGCTCAGGCTTCTGTCTGTTCCATACAGTGTAGCTGTGCAGACACAGGATTTACTGCAGGACTGTTATTATTCCATCAGTCTTGTGTGTGCTGATGTATGCATACCTGCATGTCTCTCTGGGCTCCAGGTCCAGGTGGCTCTGCTGAAGACCTTCTGCGAAGCTGCTGTGCTGCTGGCCAGAATTGGGCCACTGGAAACCACGACTGCAACCACATGCCACTGCTGAACACTGACAAGCACTCCATATGCAGGTAAGTCACCTGGCTTTTGATTGTATTTTTACTTTTACATTTTTAGAAGCTGCTTTGGAGGAAGAAATGTATACAACATTTGTATTAGAAAAAATTTGATTAACTGAATAAAACATCAGTGGGTTGATCAAGCAGAAGTGATTCTTCCAAAGTCCCGCCCATTTTTGCTCTGTGCTCCAATAACAGTTGAGCAAGCTTCAGTCAACTTCCTCCTTTCCTGTACTCAGATATGCTATGTGGTAGGCTAATCTATGTTGAAAAGACAACTACATTTTGAAGATGATTAAGATAAAAGGGACATATACAGTATATAGTCACATCTTAAGTTAGCTAGCTAATGTCAGCAAAAGTAGGGCTAACTAACTACAGTAAACTACTTAAATTGTTGTGCTTTTATTAGTGTATGAATCTGTATGAATCTTTGAATATAGGAAAATAAACTGTTAAATTACTGGAATTCCCCATTAAAGTTATAATCCTCATAATTTCCATTATGTCAGACTCTCTATATATAAAGTTTTCAATGTGTCTGGGGGAGTCTGCTGGGATTTAAATTGTGTATGCACACACATCGTGATGTAGACAACAAAAGCCACTGCATGCACACATTTCCTCTTTTGTGGAAGATAACAGCTGCTGCAGGGCATTCAGATGGTCTACTTTAGTTCTCTATATTGAAATACCATAGGGCATTTAATGCTCTCAGCCAACAGTGTGTTTGGCTGCGCTGTAAACACACCAGTTTCTTCTCTTCTGCAAATTTCCTTTCAAATGGAATTCCAGGACCTGTGTTATTACAACGCATGTGCCATTGCAACAACTGGTCTCCAAATCTACCAGGACTGAACTGCTTGACAATTTCCATTTTGAATCTGCCCTGTATGAATTATTCAGCAAACAATTTAAGTTGTTGTTTAACAAAATTGAATCAGGGGTGACTGTGGACTGAGCTCTGTCGTTCTGTTTGTCCTTCAAACATGAGACCAGGCAATATTTCCCATTCCACTGGTGTGCTATTTATTAAACTTTATGTGTGTTAGAACTGACATTGAATTCTAAAGTTAAAGGCTGTAAATCAGATTTGCTCAAAGGATCCATATCCTTACAAATTATATTGATTCAACTAATGGAAGATGAATAAAAATCGAGATTTTAACTTACAGTTGGTCTAATTTAGCTAAAACCTGTGTTGACTGTGGCATAAAATATTAAAGCAATTAGCCTAATGAGAACAATACAGATGCAGGATGAGATGTCATTACAGATTAGACTCGAGTTAAACTTTACAGTAGCTGTTCTTCCTTCTGTGTGCATAATTTTGTCTCTGTATATGTATGTGCATGTGTTTGTGTCAGTGTTACACAGAAGCAGTGCTGCCTCAGCTCAGTGAAGGCGAGTCAGTGTGAATCAGGTATGACTGCAGCTAGAGGAGGGGACACCTGTGAAGTGGGGGAGGAGAACCAGTGCACAGATGACTCCTACCAGGTACATTACTGTCTCATTATTGACATGAGAACTCTTATGGTGTGTTCCCACCGATCACAAAGACCTTTTTGCCGTGCATTTCTAGTGAGGAGGAAATTGCCTTACAGGTTGATTAAAGGGTAGTATGAGCCCGAAATAAACAGATTGTGCTGTGATATAAGTGCAATAACCATATCAAAAGGATGCTGAAATATTTACATCATGATGCCGATTTGTAGAAAGTCAGAATTCATACTTTGTCAGGTCTATCTGCAAGATGACGAGCAAGCAACTTTCAAATGTGTATTTTCTGAAGGGAGTTCGACTCGGGGTTATGCTAACTTGGAATCAATTAACAGACACATTATTCTCTTACTTTTCTCTGAAAAATCTTCTTTTTTCTCCCGTCTCTATATAAATATGAAGTAGTATGATAGATAACATTTTGCGGCGTTGCATTGCCCAGCACAAATTCACATCTTTGCATGAATTTTTAATATGATGTACTTGTGCGAATGATTTTTTCCGCGTTTGGTCTGAACACAGCATTGCAACAGCTAACCCTAACCCTAACCCTAACCCAAAAGCTAAGGCATCTGCCATAGATGTTCTTTATTAGATAGGACGCTATGGAAAGAGACAGGAGGAAGACGGTTAAGTCATGACTGAAAGACATGATGTCATGCATGGCCACTGAGTTCTCCATAAAACAAACACTGAACTGATTAAAGGTAGTTAGATCTTCCTCAAGAATAGAATATAAAGTGTTTGTGTGAGTCAGGTGGGTATGACTCACTGGTTCAAGATGACAGGACTGGACATTGTAAACAGTTCAAAGCGGAGTCCTTTGGAACTGCCGCAGTAACATGGTGAAAACATGGTTTTAGACTTTAAACTGTTTAAAAATCCCCTAGAATGCGTCGTTGTTTTGGCCAGAGTGGGATTTCAATTTCAGATAACTATGCCAGCAGAGAGGCTTTAGTGAAGGTCAGACAGTTTATTTGTGTTTATTGGCAAACAGGTTGAATGTATTAGCAAAGAACTGCCAAAGTCTCCCATTTCTGCATGCATCCTTCAGACCTGTGAACACTTCCATATGGAAATGGGAATCATGCCTTTGCTCAGAGTCAGCTCAAATAGCATGGCCTGTTTCTCTAAAAGGAAACCCGGCGGTTTGGCCCCCGAGCCAACTGTTCATGTGTTGAGGCAGCCGAGCCAAACCATTGTGCCAGGTCATTGTTTCAGAGGAAAGTTAAAAAAAAGGTGAAAGTCTGGTTTTCTTTGCATGACATATGGTTCTGATTGAAGTCCTTCGCAATGCGTTCACAGAGATGAACTGGCCTGCTTGCCTGTTTAGCTGCTATGTCTCCCCCTCCTCTGCTGTTTACTAAACAGAGCCCATAAAGAGAGGTGGTGATTAGAGATGTGAAGGGCACCCCAGTGACACACTCCCTAATAGTCTCTGCTGTTGTGTCTGCACGGGCAGGTGTGCTGCAGCTGCTGTGCCCTTGGCTTACGGGTGCGCAGCGAAGGACAAGGTTGCGATGCCCACCTGTACCTGGGCTACCCGTGCGGCCACGTCTTCCTCACCTGTTGCGAGGAAGAGGAAGGTCCAAGCCAGATCCCGCTGAGGAGAAAGCAGATGCCGAGACCAACTGCTATGCCTAGAAAAGGTATCTGTTACCCACTGCACAGCAATGTTTCACTGCCATGGAGCTTTTAACACAGAAAACACATTCAGCATGCACACTGGTGGAGTTTCAGTGGATTTACTGTAAAAACTGTTCCAAACACTCTGGAGCCAAAGCTGCTCTGGAGAAAAAGGCAAGAGAAGAGGAAGTTAATAAACCTTGCACGTTTGCTGGTTTTATATAAAAAAATATATAAAATATATGTGGTCCATTAAGTAGGTGTTCCGGTGCTCTCGATCATATCACATGATCTTCATAACCAGAGTTTGCCCAGTTGTTATAGAACAAAATGTTTTTTAAAAACTTTTGAAGGTCCAGTTTGTAACATTTAGGAGGATCTATTGTCAGAAATGGAATGTACTGACAGGTGAAGTGAATAACACTGATTATCTGGTTATCATGGCACCTGTCAGTGGGTGGGATATATTAGGGAACCTTTGTCCTCAAAGTTAGAAGTGCTTGTTAGAAGCAGGAAAGGATTTGAGTGACTTTCAAGGGCCAAATTGTGACGACCAAAACTGCAGCTGCAGCTGGTGTTCCCGGTCTGCAGTGGTCAGTACCTATCAAAAGTGCTCCAAGGAAGGAGAAGAGAGACAGGGTCAAGGCTCATTGATGCACGTGGGGAGTGAAGGCTGCCCCGTGTGGTCCGATCCAACAGACGAGCTACTGTAGCTCAAACTGCTGAAACAGTTAATGCTGGTTCTGATAGAAAGGTGTCAGAACACACAGTGCATCACAGTTTGTTGGTATGAAGCTGCATAACATTATGACCACCAGGGCGCCCAGGGGCTCAGAATGTTATTGCTGATCGGTGTAATATTCATGGGTGTGTTTTTATTAGTGTATAACCTATAATAATAGATAAAAAAACAGTTCATCGTTACCTTAGAATTAACCTTTTTTTATCTACAGCGGGAGCAGGTCCTTTTCTACAGAGTCCACCATGTTGAACCGCCATGTTTCTACAGTAGCCCAGAACGGAAAAACAAAACACTGGCTCTAGATATGGGCTTTCACGTTTTTTTAGTGGGTTTCATGCCCACCATAGTTCCTTCTACACATTGGTCCTTTAAATGTCAAAATATCTTCACAATTATATAGTGCTGCACAATGATTTGAATATTCATAGGATCACGATTTTGCTTCCAAAAATTAAATTAACGTGATCGTCTACAATATCGACATTTAAAATGCTGATGTGTGAATGTGTGAAAATGTGTGAAAATGTGAATAGCTTCACTGTTCACAAACCCTAATCCTGCATAGCATCAGAGTGAAGGATTGGTACGCAACACACCAGTCGGTTGAGCGAGTACTCGACTGAAACAAGAATCCGGTACAGATAATGTACATTTTTCAAGTATGAGCATCATAAGAGTAAAATGTGTCAATATTCATACTCTAATAAATATAGCAACTTCTGATCAACCCATATCAAGTTCATGCTTAAATTAGCAACTTCCGGTTAGTCCCACCCATGTCCGGTCTAAGCACTACCCATTCCCATTGCGGGTACAAATACAGATCATTTAGCTGGTTGAACAGACAGATAATGGTATACTCGCACATCCCGACTTGAAAGCAGATGTAATATTCTACTGCTGTTCAGTAAACTAGTTAAGCTAGGCTTTTGAAAGCCATGTTCATGTTGATTTTGACGCTGCTCATAGTTCTTTGAGAACTTCTTTTTCACACTCAGCAATAAGTTAAAACATTTAGTTAATTCTGCTTTCTCAACAGCGCCGCCTTCAAAATACATTCACTGCAACTACCTTTACCAAACATTGCACCGTACATGAATAGGGAATTGTTCTGGGTTCGGCCAACGCTATTTTGTCTTTATTGACGTTTATGTCAGAGGTAGAGCCTCAGCCGAGTTTGATCTTCCAAAAGACAGATGCTCTAGGTTGATTGGTCAGGAGTCACGTTACCATTCCGAGTAATGTGGAAAGATGTATGCAAGCTGTGATGAATCAGGAACAGATGGCAGCTCAGGCTGTTGTCTCTTTACTCATGCCAGTAAAGTTTTCCTGTGTCTCTGATCCATCAAGTACCTAATAGTAGTGGCATTTACATCAATGACTTTTCAAGCAGCTTGAGGTTCAGGATAAACACGCCTCAATGCAAAAGCCTTCCAATATCCATTTGTGTCTACTTATCTCTACAAAAACGTGGTTGAACCAGTTTGTTTGTGAACACTTCTGCTTCTGTTCGGTGCACTAGCCTCTGAATGTGACCTAATATATCTTGTTTGCACCTGCAACTCCATGAGAAGGGATCTGCATGGGTTTAATCAATGACATCCAGGCTCAACAGTATGACACCGTATTTGTTAGCGTGTTAGTCTGTTGAGCATTAAAGCTGCAGTAGGAAACTTTCCAGCAAATATGACAAAAACTTATTTTTATAACCTACCTACTGCAGCTTTAAATCCCTCCTATAAAAGTACAAGAAACATCCTATATCAAGAGCTAAGAACTTTTCCCGAATCATTGATTTGAGATTTGGTGAGCATTTGTTCAGTCTTTTAGTCTATATATTGGGACCAGACACAAAGCATGGAGTTGCAGGCCGTCATTAGTCAGCCTTTGTGGTTGTCCTTTTTTGGGAATAGTTTTATCCAAGTATGATGGTGAGGTAAGGTCAGTCCTGTTATTTCATTCACAACATCAAAAGAATTCCTCCTAATCCCACCCTTTAATAGGCTCTGTTCTAACAATCGACTGCAGCTCGTTTCCTTCAGCTTTAAAGGGGAAATTTGAATGATGTCATTCTGAAGTGGGAATCAATTAACCTGCTGAAAGCTGTGAAAGGTTTAAGAGCTGCAAAAACTGTTCAAGCTTTCAGTTAGCATGTGTATAACTCTCTCTCTCACACACACACACACACACACACACACACACACTCTGGTTGCATGAAGGATGCCTTTGCTTTGTACGTGTTTTATGGATGAAAATATGGATGAGATGCACTGTAATTATTTCCATGGGGGATATGTTTTTAGTCTTATGACTCACCGCCTTTTAATTAAAACAGGAAACATTTAATCGCCTTGCTCCTCAGAATTTAAACCCCAGGTAATGACTGTGAGAAATATTTTCTCAAAATCCCAAACTGGACCTATCACACCTTTATGTATGTATAAGGGTGTCTATGACAAATTGACATGCTCTTGCACAGTGCTGTGTGTTTTTGCCTGAGTAGAGATCAGGCAGCAGTGGCAATAACAGCCAACTAACTGGAATAGCTGTGTTTATTTTTGCCTTTAGGTTCTTCAGGGACCTTCCATCAATTTGACAAATGAAAATCAATTCATTAGTCCTGGTTACTACCACACCACCATGTGAAAACGGATGTATAATGTCTTTAGTTGCTCTGGAGAGAGCTTTGTCAAGTCTGAGAAAATGACTTAAAGAGTAACTAACTCCCAAACCGCTTTTTTCATGTCTAATGTTGACTGATTCAGGTCCAAATCTTGACATTTTAGTGAAAAGGCATAGCGACCACCCTTGGTTTCTGATGCGATTGAATCAATGTCCTGACTCTGTAGACTGTGGCCTGCTACATAGCCTGACACTCCCCCCACAGGCACCAGAGAGTTAGCCTCTCTGAGCTGCTAGCTTAGCTAATGTTACAACACAGACACAGAAACGTTTGACTGTCAAAGCTCCAACATGTCCCAGTTTCCAGTGTGGACAGCACCTCATGGCTGGTTAGCTCGGTTAGCTCTGAGTACCGGCAGTTGTATTCCTGTTACACTGAGCGTTAGTCAGTCCGTCACTCTGATTGTTGTTACCTCTCATCACACCCCCTGTATGATGGTGCTATCCATTTGTCTCGTAAGTCCCCTGCCCGAGTTGCTCTGCCGCGAGAACGTGACGTAATTGCCTGGCTTGTACCACTTATAGCTTTCCAGTTGTCTTTGGGCATTACGAGTCGGAAAGAAGTGCAGCAGCTGTGTTGTTATTGTTTGTGGCTCATCTAAACAAGCTCAATGTGAAATAATAATGTTTCTCTACAGAAACACAAACATTTCAAGTAATTCCGCTATTGCAGGTCTTACATTTCAATAATATTTTGCCATTTTCGCCTATTTCAATATCAACAAGTGCTGTGGCGTTTGTCTCGAGCCACCAGGGGCCACCAGGGGCCACCAGGGGCCACCAGGGGCAGTGGCAGGCTAGTGTTAATGTTAGCTACATTCGCCTATTTAGCAAACCAGCTCGAAAACAAAACTTTACATTGTATGCACGCACAACAACACCGTGCAATGCATAAATTGGTGACCGGACCAAAGCAGCAATGTAAACAAGTGTATAGGAGCATTTAAAATCGACGTTAAAACGACCAACGTAGTACAAATACAAAGAAAATACATCTCAATATGGCCGCTGCCATCTTTGTTTTGCGGGTCGTACGTTCTACGGCTGAAATTACGACCAAAAGGGGGTGTGTCTCGGTGAAATTTCGCGAGATAGCTGCAAGATTTACACTTTCCAACTCGGGCTGGGGGTTTACGTGACAAATGGAAAGCATCATGATTCTTCGGTGCAGCCCGCTGCTTAAAATTTGCTAGGAGGGAGCTAGCAGAATTTAGGGGTTTAGTCACACTTTAAAGCCTGTAGAAGGAATATTTATTTGTTTTGATTCTGGCGGCCACTGTGGATAAAAATGGTAGTGTTTTTACAGCCTTGTTTCATTGATTTCAAGGGGAATCCAAGTTATTTCATCTTGGGCTTGGAGACTGCAAGTTTATAAGAGAAACTCTGCACTGCAAACTGGGGACGTCAAGTGAAAGATGTGGGTACATGCCAGCCAGAGGTCTAATGAAAGATGCAGTCGAAACTCCATGTCAGGATATCTCAATAATCTGAACAAAATCAATTTTGGCCATTCTACTTTTAATCTGCTTCTTGCAAATCGCCTTTATGGAAGTGCAATACTAAACTGTCTGAATACCTCGGATTTTAACATTGAATTGGGCACGCACCCAATTAATTTTAGAATCAAGATGAATTACCACATTCGGTTTGAGGGCGGTTGCTACGCCAGATTAATTGCCTGGACAATTTACGGCCATTGGACAATCAGATGGATTTATGGCTTGTCAGAAGTTTTGTGGCTAGTGCGGTCTTCACCGAGACTGTGCTGTGATATAAATAAAACTGAGCTTCGCTGCGAACAGACAAATAGTATCCCCATTTTCCCTTCCATCAACAACACCATGTTTATCTTTTTACTCATTGATTTCTGAAGAAAGCACAATTAACTATTCACTGTTACTTCAGCTTTCCCTTCTCGGATGGCAGTTTGCAGTTCAGTGAATTTACCACCTAAAATCTTCAGAAATATTTTAAATAATGCATCTTTGATTTCCCACAAAGTAGAGAAACGCAGGCTTTTCATTTCTAGCGTCACTGTGGATTTTATGTCAGCGTATCAGCAGTGCCTCTCTTTCCTCTAACCCTACATAATAATACAGATAATGACATGACACTTGCCGTTGGAAGGAATGCAAATAAATACACAGATTCATCATTGATGATTAAAAGAAGACATCACCCTCTTATCAGTCTTTCCAACAATCACCAACTCTGGTGAAATAGATTCACCAATAAAGGTGAATTAGATGTTAAAAGGCCTGCAATACCTGTAAGGTAAGCTAACTGCACCTGTCAAAGTACATCAACTAAAGTCCTTGTTATTGTCCCTGATAGGTTCAGATTGTTTGTGTCTGACAGCATTATGGAAAGGATCCCTACAGAGATAGACCTTTAGTTTAACCAGAAACAGCTGTAGTATGGCTATCACTCGCCACCAGACTCCATAGACAAAAAATACTTTTTCATTCAAAGTGGACAGAAACAAAATAAAACTAACCAAAACCATCTTGTTAGTATTTCCACTATTCCAACAATAAACTCAATCAGACTCTGGTTTAGTTGATGATAAAAACAGCAGTTTCAGTTGCTCTACTGCATGTGGAATAGACCGACTATGTAAACAAACCACAGAGAGGCTGATAGCAACACAGGCAGAGGGAGTGGGACGTCATTCTACCCTCAGGACACCATTACTCCACTTAACTTTTACATGGACAATAAGTGTTTGCTGCTAAGAAGTAGAAGCTGTAAGCTTTCATTAAGTGCCTTATGTCATACCCTCTCTGCTAAATGATTTCCCCTCTCTACTCAATCTAATTGCTCTCTAAAAATGCTCAGCATTTTGTACTTTTCTTTCCAAGCACTTCACTTTCCTGTGGTCTCAGGAGTTCTAAAAATGCATTACTAAGGCCCTGACCTTTGCACTTGTTACTGTTTGTTTCTTTTAATGATTGTCATTTAGGAATTAAAGCTCTGAATAAAAGTATCACTTAAATGCTCTAAATGTAAATTTAAAGGAGAAACAGATGGTTTTTTTTTTTATCTATTACTATCTTCAAGTCAGTTTCATGAGGTAAATGTGTGGGATAAATTATACAGGCAATCTGGTGCTGTATCTAATTTGAGAGTCTCCCTCCATCCCATTCTTTTTCTCACTCCCTCCAGTCTCAGACAGCAAGTTCCCCAAGGAGGCCTTCTCTATCAGTGCCACAGATGAAACTGCCAACGCAGTGGAGGAGCAAGAGGATTTGGATGAGTGTCAGCTCTACCTGGGCCAGCTGTGCCAACATACATGCACCAACACCTGGGGCTCCTACCGCTGTGGCTGCCACCAGGGCTACGTCCTGCAGCAGGACGGTCAATCCTGTGCACCAGGTACTGTAACCTACCTTGGAAGCTTAAGTCACATGTGAGTTCTCTGACTGAAGTCATCTGGTTTTGGTGGTAAATTTCAGAATTTGGTTAAATATAAACTAGGTAAGCTCATAGAGCAGATTTGTAAAGCGTAGGGGAAGAAGCCACGGCTCACCAATATGAAACAGGTTTTCACCATCGGCACAAAGTCATCATTAATGCATTCAGATTCAACAAAAACATTAGCAGCACTACTTAACTGTTTTATTGGGATTATATACTAGATGAAATCATCTATGTACTGGGGGGCTGCACATTTTAAACATTTTCCTACTGAGTCATTAGGTCAGTGTATTTTGTGGCCAACAGATTTTCGTTTTGAAATGAGAAAAACCACAATCGGGAAACAAGCTGTTTCCCAGCTACCATTTATAAGTAGGGGAACATGACCCGTTTGGAAAAAAAATTGGAAAATGAAAAAACTACCCTTTATCCAAATTTGTTTGATGTGCAATGATAGTAGGGAAACAGCTTGTTTCCCAATTTTGGTTTTCTCATTTCAAAATGAAAATCCATTCGCCACAAAATACACCAACCCCATTAAAGGATTTTGTTTTGGACTTCCATAAAGTTCGGGAACTCCCAAAAGACAACAGAATTAGGTTGGTCAAAATTGAAACAGTAGATCCTACATTTCCCAGAATGCAACTTTATAGTGTGTTTAAATCCTCCTTGGCTGATAAACATGGCTCCAAACTTTTACACTCTCCATTTGTAACACTAAATCAAGTCTTTCTCTTAAAAGTTTAAGCCGTGCAACCTGAAAATGATTCTTTCTCAGACTTTACAAAGCTCCTCAGGACATCATAGAACTGTTAGGCTGAGTAGTAGGCTAATATTTATGGCTAGTTAACTTATAATCATCTATAAAATTGGTGGGCTTTTGATGGACTGCTGTGATCTGTAAGGCCAGGGAGAGTGTTTCTTAATCCACTTCAGGGGTTTAAGGGTTGAGGGTGTTGTATCCTGGAAAGTGTTGCCAACTCTTGCAAGACAAATAAGCAACCACAGCTTCAAAAACAAGCCCACTATTAATATAGCCTTAACGTAAACAGGCTCAATAAAGGAGCCTGCAACATATTAAAGTGAATCCTCTGAGTTTGAAAAGCAAACAGAACTTATTCATATTAGCTTAGGTGGTTACTCTTGTATTTGAGGGTGATGTTAACCTCCTGGAAAACATTATCCTGTAATGGTTATTATTTGGTGCAAATTATATGCAGGTCATCACTGATAATGGAATGGAATCAATGGAAACAACCAACCTATAAACTATTGTAATAACATGTTGTCTGATTGCAAAGTGTAAATATTTCTGACTGACAAAATGACTCTGACTCTTTACTCTAAAAGTAAAACTATACACCTATGAAAAACACTTTATTCAAAAGTGTCAGAAAAATATTACAATTGTTTCTGAAAAATACATGCATCTGCATTTAAAACACTTGCGTCCTGCTCATCCTGTGTCTCTTAGTCTTTTAGTATATGACTTCTGAGCTGTGTTTTCCAGAGCACAGTTTTCCCAGTAAGATCTCCTAGTCTGAGATGACTGGGACTGTGACTTGGAGGAAATGTCGATGGGGATGTCTGAGTATCAGTACATAACAACATAACATAATAAAAGAAGAAAGAAAAAATGAAGTCACCTGTCAGATTTTCCTAACAAGCGACCATTTTTTTAAAACCACAACCCGTTACTCATGATTTATTTAAGCAACTTCAAAAAAGACAAGAAGCCCAAAGACAAGAAGCCCAAAGTTACGTATAATAGGTGGACAACTCTGATCCTGGACAAATAGTAAATCCCCTTGAGGCAAATTTGTCATTTGTCTATATAATTACAAAATAATATTAATAATAATAACAAAATAAGTTGAACTGAATTGACTGTTCTCTACTGAGCGAGCTATCACAGTGTTGATAGACTGCATTGTGGGTTTTTTATGAGGTTTATGAGATTTTTGATGTTAAGATAGATACATTTCAGTAGGAATTGATTATTAAAAATGGCGTTTGTTACTTTGGTTACTACAGTAGCATTGAGCTGTGCCCTCTTCATTATCTGATCTTCCTCCAGACAGACATTCTGAGCAGATGTAAAGCCAAATTCAAGTTGTGGTCCCTTTATTCTACTTACAAAGCAAAAATGATATAAATGATGAATAAATAATAAGTCATTAAAAAATTTCCCTCTGTAAAAGTTTACAAGAACTTGGCATGGGAAATTTGTCTTATTAAGTTTCCCTAAGAAATCCAGTCGCTTTCTTAACCAGGGTGGAGATGTGAGATGACCATGACAGGTTCTCCATGATGTTGATTCCCAGGAACCTAAAACTGTTCACCTGCTCCACCTCAACTCCACTGTTGTAAACAGGGTTGTGTGTCTTTGCCTCTTTTTTCCTAAAATCAATCAGCTGCTTGGTTTTGCTGACGTTGAGCAGTAGGTTGTTTTCTGTGCACCACTGTGCAAGTTGATTTCCTCCCGATATGAAGTCCTCATTGTTTGAAATCCTGCTGATGATGGTGGTGTCATCTGCAAATTTCAGACAGCCCCGAGGGGCTCCTGTGTTGAGCACTAGAGTGGAGAAGGTGTGACTGCCAATTCGAACACTCTGGGGTCTGTTTGTGAGGAAGTCCAATATCCAGCTGCTGAGTGTGGTACTCAGGCTGAGAGTGCTGAGTGTACCAATCAGTTTCACAGGAGAGATTATGTTGAATGTTGAGCTGAAACCGACAAACAGCATTCTGACGTAGGTGTTGTTTTTCTCAAGGTGTGTGAAGACTGAATGGAGGGCAGTAGAGATGGCATCCTCTGTGGATCTGTTGGCTCTGAATGCAATCTGGTGAGGGTCCAGGCCGGCAGGGATTTTATTCTTTTTGTGCTGGAGAACCAGTTTCTCAAAGTACATCAGAATTGGTGTGACACAGGGCGGTATTCGTTTAGACTAGATACTTCAGACCTTTGAGGTACAGGGACGAAGGGGCCTGCGTTCGAGCGGGTGGGAACACTCTCCTGTGACAGTGAAATATTAAAAATGTCATTAATGACATCAACTAGCTAACTAACTTTTTAGCACACGGCCAAGAATGTTATCAGGCCCAGCAGCTTTAGTCATATCATTCTTCAGACATCCAACTGTGGATACTGACAGTGGTTGATCCTCTGGAGGTGGAGTAGACTTTACAGCTGACTCTTGTTAAGGAGATCAAAGTGAGCACAAAATATGTTTAGCTCATCTGGTGGCCTGGCCTCATGATGAGGGCACTCCTGCAGTCTCTGATTTGCCTTTGCTGGCTCAACCTGAATCTTATTTCATCTATTTTATTTTCCTGCAAATTATTAGCTCAGGAGTAGGCTGGGTAGTGGAATAGCCTTAGGTCCAAGCTTATCTCTTATCCCGGCTGTCTTCCGTCTCTTCCTTGGCCTATCACACAGCTTGTTGTGGTGTGGCTGGGTGGCCAGAAGATGCCGTGGACAGTTAATCCACTTAATCCAATCCCTGCGCTTCCTTTTCTGACACTGGTGAGTGTATTTCTGTCATAAGTAATGTAAGTAGACAAGCTAGCAAAGTTATCAAAGCCTACAAGTGCTTTCGGCTGTCTCTGTCAGTCATGTGACCCTCACTTGTCGGCTTTAGTAGTCACTTGGGTGTCAACTTTGTGTACCTGGAGAGTGGGCCACTAGTTGGACAAAATCACACAAAATTGCAATGTTCTATCTTTAATTCAGTCTCTTTAATTATGTATGGTGATATAAAGTACTTGACCTACTCATAGTGTATTTGTGACATACAGTATTTTGTAGGGCTGCAACTATCGATTGCTTTTATTCTAAATTAATCTGTCAATCATTTTCTTAATCTTCTTAATCTTAATCTTAATTAATCGGTTAGTTGTTTGGTTCATTAAATGGGGTCAGTGTTTCCCACTGCCCAAAGTGATGTCCTCAAATGTCTTCTTTTGTCCACAACCCAAAGATATTCAGTTTACTGTCATAGAGGACTAAGGAGAGCAGAAATTCACATTTGAGAAACTGAAATCGGAGACATTTGGACATTTTTTCTTAAAAAGTGACTTAAATTTATTTATTTATTTTTATTTTTTTAATAGTTAACGATTAATTAAGTAGTTGACAACTAACTGATGACTTGATCAATTTGGTTGGTCAGCATCAATGAATGGAAAAAAATATATATATATAGAGTTTGTTGTGTTAATACTGTGGCTAATCAACTCTCGTTTATTGAAATGCTGTTCATGTTATCTCCTATTTGACCTTGTGTTCCTTTGGTTTTACTAAGATACAAATAAAAGCCTGATTGGAATTCACTGACAGTGGGGTGAGGACATTTCTGAACAATAAAACTTAAGTATTTCATTTAACAATAAAAGTTTAAATGCAGGAAACTTATTATTATAATCTTATTGTATGTGTATTTATGGTCATTTTACTGTGATTATGCTGTGGTTAAATCCACAACAGATTTCATCATCATACTTATGGCACTTGAGCAAGAGCCATTTAAACAGGCTCATAAAAATTCCCAACAACCTCAAATGAAAGATAAGTTATTCACAGACCTCTCTCTGCTCTATAAAAGAGTTTAATGACAAAAACATCCGGCATGGGTCAAATTATGTCTTTTCATTAGGAAATAGATATTATGTGGAATATTATTATTTTTCAAATTGGTTTTATACATCAGTAACCTGTGAATCAACCTTCATCCACTCTGCATCATGAACTATTTTCCTTTTTTTTGTTTAACTTTTCAGTTAGGTGGAGGCTCTCATTAACTAACATTGTCTTCCTGGTGTCTTTTGTTGTGTTTACAATGTGCAGTGAGTCCTGACGAGGACAACAGAGTCAGAGAGGACAGTCCTGCTTTGATCCCAACACAAACTACTACTACCACCACTACAACTAGTACAACCACCACCAGCCCTGTCCGCCTCAACCCTTGTGCAGGTAATACCAGCATTACACTATAATAGATGTGACATGACTGTATAAAAACCCATATTTGATCATATTTGATACTTAGAAATGTTCCCAGCTAAGGGCAAGAAAAGGAATTAAATGTGTCCTTCAGTGCAGTCAGATGATGGGCATCCAGGATATGTTGTTGCCATTTTGTGCAGTACATTACATTTTCAGTAAAATCATACTTTATATTCTTGGGTTACTCCTTGAAAAAACAATTGGCCTTTATATGCCTTTAGGCTTTATTCAGTATAGCAATTTTACCCAGTGTTGAAATATGGTACATATATGTGCGAATATGCATTATTGATTGTGATGGCCTCTGCACTGCAAGGTTGGGGTTTTTTTGTTTGTTTTGCTCCTCAGCAGTGGTGAGGTGCACATACCACATGAAAATCATCTATCGGTGATGTTTCTCAAGGAATTACTTTTTTTAAATATTAAAGAAATGATTTATAAAATAATCACTGAAACTGTGTGGGTTCCAAGTTTGACAAAAATGGTTATGCCTTCTTATGTAGAACATCCACTACGGTGCTTCTTAAAGCTGCTGTAGGTCATTTTTATAAGAAATAACTTTTTGTCATATTGAACATGAGACAGATAATCTGTGAAACAATCAGGTTCCTCTGGCTCCTCATAGAGCTCCTAATGACATGTGCAAGAATCCACCTGAACAAAAACAACCAATAAGAGGTGATTGTTGAGTCTCATTCCCAGGGCGTCAAATACAGACACTTTGGGACCCCTGGGAATGATGTCTATCTTTCTCGGCTCCAACCACAGCTATCTGTGCTATAGCTAGTTGCGCCTGTTGTTATCTAGCCCACTTTAAACATGTTTTTTTTTAACTTGTAAACTACATTATATGACTGTACGGTGATGAAACACATCAATGCTGGTATTAATATTGACATTCTTACCAAATGTATTAAAATCTACATTTCATGGCTTAAAAATAGCTCAACCCAGCATCTAATGTTTTATATCACCCCGAACCTTGCTGACACAGAGTCGAACATTTCAACTACTTGCCATGACATTAATATAAAAAAGTGTTAATGCCTTCTGATTCTTAGAATTAGTAGATTAATAGATTTGAGGTTTTTCCTTAACTAGGCTACAACTTCTCTTCAGGGTTGGTTGTCCCATGTGAGTGATAGTGAGTGACTGACATAAAGATGAGTGTTATTGTTCTTTGTATTGTTCTTTTATATTGTTATATAGGGATAGAAAATGCACAGGAGATGTGTAATGTTGTTTCAATCAAATGAAACTTTTAAAATAAATTTTTAACATTGCATTTTTTATTTTCCCCATTAGAATACCACAGGGACAATCAACCCTATAGTGTGTAACTACCAACCCCACAATGGGGATAGTAGTTACATGGCAAATTTGACAATCTGTGTCTTTTGAACAGAATAAGCTAAGAAGAGGAAGGTCACTCAATTTCTACCTGGCACTTTAGACCTCCTTTTTACATTGAAGGAATTTATAAATTATATAGCTGTTGAGGGATTCAAGCTAAAGCAGAAAACTGTGATGACCAATTACCCTACTGTCCACATTTAATGGTGTTAACATCTCTTAAGTGCCCAAAAGCCAGTCCGCCCTGCAGTATACACAGTTTCAAATTGTGAAATGTGAACATTAGTGAACGTCATGCTAATTGACCTCATTCAAAATAATAGGTGACCTATTCAGGCTTTGAGATGATTCACCATGGTTGCATTACCAGCTGCACAAAGGTAGCCAGAAGCAGAGATCTGTTTTTTCCTGAATACATTAAACTGGAATATGAAATCATGATTTATAGACTTCAGGCTCTGATATCCACTTCCTGCTGTGAGACTCTTCTTCATGGACCCCTACTTTGGCCAAAGTTGTGTGTTACAGCTTTATGTGTAATGGGTGATGAGTGTGTTTGGGGGCGTGTCGTATAAGGCGGTGAAGTGTACAAGCAGTCGCTGGTGTCTTCAGCCTAGAGCCCAGTAGGCCGGATACATCTGCTCAACGCATCAGCTCTGCCTTTATTGAAACAAAGCAGGTAGGCCGAGCCGAGAACAGCTGTCATAATGTGTCCAAGTGCCGTCTGACTACCCTGAAGCAAACAACTCCCTTGTCAACGGAAGTAAAAACTAGGACAGTTGCCTGTCTGCGTGCACTTTCTGATAAACTGTTCAGTCATAGTTGATCGGCTGTGTTTATGCTGCTGCAGCTTCATGAGCTGCATCTCGATCAAGTCGGGAGGAGATGGGCAGTGCAAACCTTCCAGCTGCTAGAGTCTCTACTCTAGGCTCCAACAAAAGCCCCGCTCCCTCAAAGTGTCTCTGATTGTTAGTTATAAGAATATCCCGATCAATGTATTGAGCCGCCTTCCAACACTTCACAACCGCAGAGCTTTAGTGGAGAATGTGTTGGTGGGAAATTGTAGGGAAACAGTTCCTGGCCCATGCCTCTTTGTGACAGGGCTATCGAGCTGTTAAATACAGAGAATTGATTCTGTTGATGTGAATGCGATGGCTCATGAGAGGCTCCTTCCTGCAGGGAGCGATGATCAGTGCGAAGGCGGGGTCCATAGGAGCCTCGAGGAGCAAGACAACAGGGCAATGAATTACCAGGACAGAAAAGAAACAGCACAAGGATGAGGAATTTAAGACATTATGAGTGAATGACTGTCCCGGAGGCATAGCTGTTTGTAATCCGGAGATGATTGTGATCATGCTGCTCGTATTTTTGTCTCTTGCAGAAAATGGTCCTTGCAGTCAGCAGTGTACAGTGGTGGCAGGCCGTGTTCGCTGCTCTTGCTTCCCAGGGTTTTCGCTGATGACAGATGGACACATGTGTGAAGGTAAGAGCCGCCATTCCTTTTTGCGGTACCGTTGGCAGTAATTGGAGCGATTCACGATGCTCGTATGTATCCCTTAAGCTGTTTCCCTCAAGCAGGGTTTGCACTAGGTAACAAACAACCCAACGCCATCAACAACACCACTCACCGCTGTATAAATGAACAACAACAAACACATACAGCCTTGACAACAGAACAGAAGTGCAGTGGAGCAGTTTGTCCAGAGATCGGGACACTTTTTAATTGGATGCAGTCACTCATGAAGGAGGAAAATGCAGGTCTTGTGATACTAAACAATGCATCGAGTGACTGGGCTCCCACTTCCTGGTGGAGGCCATTGCCTGGAGCATTACTCAACCATAGCCAATTACCCTGTGGGAGCTATAGCTGCAATAACAAACAGTACACATAACATTTGTGTAGTTAGCTACCTTCCTTTCATAAAACTGTGTGTGTTAACAGCGACACGTCTGACAGGTGAAGGTCAGAATTCACTGTTTTTTTTAGTTTAAAGGACAATAATCATGTGCTCCCTGGTGCTTGCAAATGTGTGAAGAAACACATGATAACACATTTGTTTGTAATATATCTAAACCAAAAAAACTAAATATATACTGTGCTTCGAGGGTAAAGCTGGTGATTGTATGTTTCTTTTTGTAAACAAATCCCATGAAAACATCAAAACCAACAATGTTTGTTTCTCTATACTTTCCAACTTCCCTTCCATAACTGTAGCTCTCAGTCTTGGGTCACAAAAACACTGCTTCATTTTTAAAAACTGACTACGTTCCTAAAACAGCTGAGTAGTAGTAGTGAAGGTTCCATATGTAACATTGTGAAGCTTTTTACGTATTTTTTAAATGTAATTAATCACTTTTTATTTACCAGTTTTTATGAGTGAATGGGTTGTTGTGAACATGAAAACACAAAGGATGTGACGTTTATACGTGATCCCAAGTGCCTTCTCTCTCTGCTTCCCAACACCGTCTACAGTGTGCAACACTAGCTAATGTTAGCTTATAAATGGAGTCTGCTATTGTCCACAGTCCTTTGTATATATTCAAGCTGCACTACTCAGTAGTATTGTCAATGTGAAAAGGGTTGCTCATAGTGACAAAGCATCACAGTTTTTAGCTTGATGTTTCGGTTTTCTGGCCCGTAAACTCGTCTCAAGAGCAATATTTGGACCTACATTTTAGAGGTCGACTGATAGTGTTGATACGTTGTTTCTTTTAGAAGTCGATGGCTATGTAGCTTCATATCATGCGGGCACGTTCTCTAGCCGTCATCAATCGGGCAGCTGTGGCACAGAGGAAGAGCGGGTCGTCCTCTAATAATCGGATGGCTGTTGGTTTGATCACCGGCTCCTGCCGCCACATTTCAAAGTATCCCTGAGCAAGATACGGAACCCCAGATTGCTGTGCATCGGTGTGTGAATGTGTATGAATGCATTAGTTTCTGTTTGATGGACTTTGCCATCACTGAGTGAATGTGTGTGAAAGGGCGAATGTGGCACGTAGTGTAATAGAGCTTTGAGTGGTCGGAAGACTAGAAAGGCGCTGTACAGGTCCATTTACCATTTACCATCAGTGCCTTTAAGCATACACACATAACGATGGAGTTGTCTAAGAATCACTAAGCTTGTCTATGTTAGGCACAAGAGGCTTGGGTTTATTTTCATTGCCGTTGTATGTCTCAAACTGAGCATGTTTGTATGCTTCCTTGGATCCCAAAGAGGTCTTTTTGTTGAGATAAGGACTCTCGTTATTGTTAGGTAAAATGTTGGTTTTGTATTGAGCACTGACTGTGTAATTCACTGTGGTGGCCTGTGGATTCTTTCGTGTTTTGTGTAATAAAAATCCACTATCAGCAGACCTCTGTTCCGTTCTTCAGGTGGCCATAAACACAGCTCCATGTCTGCTGGATGAGTAAAAAGGCTTTTGTTCTCTAACATGTTAGCCATTACAACTTTATAAGGTGATAATACATTCAATTGACAGTTTGTTAGATACATTTAGCTAAAATGAATGCAGTCTAATACAACAGTGCTGCAATAAATCCGACCTTCATGAAGGTGTAATGGTCAGTTTTTCTTCAAGTGGTTTTAGAGAGGTGTTGATTCAACTTTATGGTCATTTTGGAGGTTGTAGTAGGTGTTTCTAGTACTCAGCCTTCCATTATTGGTGTAAATTATTGATTGATATAACGTATTACTGTAATCCAAGATGCATCGCTGGTAAAAATTTTGAATTGAATATATTAAGATCACTGCACACCAAATAAAGGCGTGTTAGGGAGCTGGGAATAAGTGTAAAATGACCAAAAAAAGCATCTGCATGCCATTTTACTGTGGAAAAAGTCATCACATAGATAGACCATCAACATAAAACCTCTCCCCAGAACAGAATGTAGCTGTTACCATGCCAAAGACCATTTTCCATGAGTGGCCCTACAGTAATACATTTGCTGGAGCAGTTAGTAAATTGATCCATGAATTTGAAACAGGGCGAAAACTTGGCAGCAATTTTCCCTTTGTGAACAAAAAGTGATATATTGTCCACCTCTGGAATTCAATATACACCAGTTCGATAAGTGTTGCTTGTACAAATCCCTTCTTGCGCCGCATGTACAAGGTGTTGTTACAGAAATGGACATGTAGGAAGTGAGTGATACTAACATGAAAATAGTTGCTCATAGGAATGCTTTTTCTCAGCTCGTGTGCTACATAAATACTGGAGGCCTGAGTGTATACAGTGGAAGTGCAGTCCTGACTGAGTTTATTTAATCTGTCTGTCAGTCAGCAGACGGGATAATACCTCTGCATGTATAAGCACTACATGAGAGTTAGTGTTTTCCCTCCTATCACTACATCTAGTTAGCAGAGTGGGGACTTTCTCTCCGAAAGTGTTCCCACATGTGAAGATGTGGGTGGGCAACTTTTGGTTTGGACTGGAATGAAACGGAGCAAATAGCACCACAAGATGTGAGCGTGAGGGGGTATTTGAGGATTTGACGGGGATGTAAGTAGACTGTGAAGTAAACTGCGGAGTACTTGTTGTTGTAGATATATCATGCAGACTGTGAAAACACTGTGAAGCATTAACACTCGGGATGTTTGCAGTAGAGTAATCTGACATTTGTTGAGCAAATGTAAGCACTTCTATCAGAAATACGGATGCGGTTAATCCAATATCATGACTGTGTGATATTTTGATTCTCAGGTTTACAGGAAAAATAAAGCTGCTCCTCTCGGTGGTGTACTCAGCTGAACCTGAATGTGGATGAATGCATGATTTAAACACACAATTGTTCCCATGGTGATGTGTGTGTGTGTGTGGTGTATGTGTGTGTGTGTGTGTGAGAATAAGTGAGGATCCTTCCAGTCAACCAGGACAGGATGTGTGGGTTTTATGCATAGCCTGAATAGTAAATGTGTGTGTCAGACAGTTAATCAGCGCTATGACTTTATCTCTACTCATCACCACACTGTGAATGGATGTTCTTAAGTTTCCCAGGCAAACACACACACTGGCAATCCAAATCCAGACATCATGGTGGTTTTTAGCTTTAGTGCATGTGGTTGCCACCTTCACCCGTTTATGAAATTCACACTGAGGACTAAACAAACTGCTGTGGGCAGGGTTGGATATGGTTTGCATTCCTCATGATAGTGCATGAAGATCAGATTTCTGTTATGACATGGATGATGATGAACTATGGATGAGTCTCTGCACTTAAGAGTCGTTATATCCTCTCTGTGGTCACACTGCTAACATCATCTTTAGGTTTGCATGGCTGGGATTGCTGGAGAAGATATTACTCTGCTCCACCAAAGACCAAGACTGGTGGACCTGTCCTGTCAAACAAAGAGAAGTTTTGTAGTCCAAACCGGGGTAAAGGTTGTCTGTTAAGCAGTGGCAGACAAAACAGAAAATCATTAAATTGATATTATCACCCTATAGAGAGTTTCCATATAGATGTTTCAATAGCCCCTTCCTAAGTGCTGCCCCTTTTTGCTCAATGCTCCAAATATGGGCCGTCCACACCAAGAGCAATAACTACAACAATAACTATAAATATAGTTTTAACATTGTTGTCACTCAAGTGGATATCACACCACTACTATAACCACAATGACAGTGGTAAACGGTATCGTTTTCACAGCGCTTTGATGAACGATGTTGTGGTATACCACTTATTAAACACTTATATAACAAAAAATTAGGCTGCTAGTGGGGGTGTAAAGTTCATCAGCGTATATACAGGTAAGGAGAGGGTTAACAGAGGTTATGGAGGCTTATTTAACTGGAACTGGAACACAAAGAAAAAAGGAGATGGACTGAGGAAGGTTGATTTTAAAAGGTGTGACAACATCACTCTAGGTCCACTACTGCAAGCAGCTGCTGCTACCTTGAAATGCTGGTTTCGTGCCCTGTGGCTTTATTGTCACCTGTTTACATAACCAAGTCTAATTGAAAGCAACATTATTAATCACTTCAATAACTTCATTAAAACAAACTCACTTTTATTGTCCTAATTGTGTTGTAGCCAGTCAGTACCTGCACCAACAGTTAAAAATTACATTAGACAAAATATTGGTACAGCTGTTTAAAAGATACGTAATGGTTAATGTGACTGGCGGCGAGGATTTAATTCATCACGGCGCCCTCTGGTTTATATCTCGCCTCTCCCAGCATTTTTGCACGTAGCATTCTGCTTGTCTATGAACAAAACTTGCAGGTGCACTTGGATCAGCCCACTGTGACCTTGCAAACTTACTTGTGCTTTGTACTTTGGGATCAAGCCTAAAAAAATATTTCTCACATTTATGCACCTAATTTTCTCTGCACCCTTTGTGAGGCTCTATCCCCTGTCACTGATGATTGGGAAATCATGCTCCCAACTTGCAATCCTCACAGTCCCACAAGTCTGCATCTGTATAAGCCTAACCCTCCTCGAACCAAATCTGCATGTAAGCCAAGGCTGACTTCATCCACCTCAGATTGAACTTCGAAAATCTCATCGTCTGCGAGGTCCAGTGTGAAAGAACAAGAGGGTGTGTGTTTGCTTCTGTGCCTAATAGTGCTGCCTCTCAGACGTCTCCCAGTGCACCTCCTCCTCTGGTCTCTTGATGGAATTCTTCTAAAACTGCTATCTCTCCTCATTTGATTGAGCATTTGTATGTTTCAAAAAATAGAGTCTTTGTTTCCATTTTGTGTTGGATCACTTCACTCTTCACAACTGTGTAATGTGGCTGCCTCTGGGACCAGTCGGGGAAGGTAGGGGACCAATAGGCACTTCTTTTCCTTTTATTTTTATATTTTCCCCCTCCGAATGACGCACTGGAAATAATGCTGGCCACCAGAGTGGAAGGAGAAGGCGACTTTCTGCACCACTGGCAAAACGCAAACATTGGAAGCGGTCCCCGTCCATCCCTAGGCTTGATGGAGAGCAGGGCCCATAGGACGAGGCGGACTCAGCTCTCAGTGTGCTTTGCCCCTGGAAATATCCTCCCTACAACGGAGACAACAGATGTCTCTCGGCTGGGGAACAAAGGGGGGACATTTGCTAAGGCAGGCCCCAAAACAAGAGTGTGTCACTGCTGCATGTACAGCACTAGTCATGTAGCCTCCCCAGAGTGTTACACAATGTCAAAAGGGGAAGTTGTTAATTTTAGTGAGCAAGATGAATGTGTTTGCTGCAGCTCCACAGAGGCTTCATATAAAACAATAAAGAATAAATGTTCTGTTCTGTGAGAGGTGATGCCTGTGTAGTTTTCTGAGGTGAATAACCTTACGGGAAAAGAGCTGCAGGATGTTACTCACACACCAGGCACACACTGAAAACCTCAGATCAGAGTTTTCCCTCCTCCCGCTCTCTGTGGGAAGGTGTTTTAAGGCACACAGTTCATTCAAATTCCCCGTGGCAAAACCTTTGAAAGTCGAGAAAGGCATTTCAGCAAGGGACTGCCAACAGATACACAGGCAACACAGGCAACACAGGAGAATATGTTCCCCTCTTGTTCCTGCCTTTTGTTTTTCAGCCTTGGCTCCTACATGCAGATTCATACAAGACCTTTTCGTCGGGGTCCCCTGCGGAATGCGCCATATTTCGGGGTGATCTTCAAACCTGGATCACTGCCACACAAACACACAATAATCCCAGTACAGTGCTATCAGCGAATCCAGCTAATCGACCATGCACTGCGATGCATGATAAGGGAATGCGGCAGTCTGATAAAGATGAGCCACAACAAAGCGCCGGTCCACTGTCTCGGCATGAGCCCACCACTGTCATAAATCAACAGCGCCTGTTTACTGGCTGCAGTGCTGTCTGACTGATAAAAATTTAAAGGTTTGCAACTGTGTATTTTATTTCACACAGACAAACATAACAAGCAAAATATCATTAAGCTTTTGCCAAGACTTGATATTTTAAATTTGATTTGGGATTTACAAAGCAGTCGCTGTCCAAAGTTGAGATAACCGCCAGCCAAACAGCGCTCCACACACGTTCTGTATCTGTGGGACTCAGAACAAATCTTCATTTAGTCCAGCCTGTGCCACCACATACACATCAGCTTTTTAAAAACATGCCCTGTACTCTGTTGGGAGAAAGAAAAACAAAACGAAAACGGAGAAACGTATATTGGAAATTCTTCGGTTGAATGATGTCACATCCTGTCTGTCAGGGTTTAGCCAGTGGGAGCTTAGCTCCAGTAAGAAGGGGTCTGAACTCCCATGAAAGCAGTAAAATCATACAACTGTGGGGACCCTGCTGTCTATACATATACTAGTGAAAATGCCAAATTTTGTCTGTAGCCAATCAAATCCTTTCATTTTGAGCATAGAGTGATAATCATCAGCTTTACTGTCTGACCCTAACACTGACTGAGAGCCAGATGATACAGCACAAAAAGTAACCTCAAACTTTAACCCTCAACCCATGTTAGCTTTCTAGCTCATGCACAGTAGATTGAACTGCACCTCAGCTTGCAGAATGAGCTACAGTTTTATGTTCTTTACTGCTAACAGGCATGTATGTGTTTATGTAAGTATCAGCAGTCAGTTTGCTGAATGCTGTAGTTCTTATAGCAGCATTAACTGAGTAAACACACCATTGACATATGTATAATTAGAAAATGTGCGAGCAATGTCTAATTACAGTTTCACACTAATGTGTTTTTTGACCATGTGACAAATGTAAGTTTAATATTCAACCTTGTTTTAGCTCTGTATTGGTCTCTTAACATCTGGACAGAGTTGCACCAGCTATGTGTAAGTTCTGTCCTATATTAGGGTGTAAAGCTGACACTAGAGGCTCAGTGACTAGTAGTTAATTTATAACTAAAACAGCCAGTTGCACCACAATTACTTAACACATAACTCAAATAGTTCGGATGTACAGTCATAAATAAGAAAAGTAGCCAATCAGCGATCCAGGATATTGTTCCATCATCATGGTAACCATGTGCAGGAGCTTTCTGGCTGGCATGACCTTCTTGGCTTTGTAGTCAGCTAGATCAATATTGAAATACCATATCAATAAATTAGGTCTCTAGTTGATTAATGTGTCACAAAATGGCTGCAATTAATGAAAAAAGTATGTTGTGTGGCAGAAAAGCTGCTGTTTTACCATCAGTGAGTATAATTCTGTGAAATGTTATGATTAACACTACCTTAGGGGTATGTGTCAGTATTTAGTTGTTACTTAGAGTAACTTATCTCTGTGGTGCAAAAGCTTTTATTTTAGTAATGCATAAATCACAACTTAGTAATAATTTACGTTATAACTTGGTTAAGTTTGAACTTGCTGGCTCTTTAGCTGCTAGATGCTCCACTATATTCACCAGCTAGTTGCTAACTTTGTCTGTCTGCTGTTAGGTGCAGGGCAGGTAGCAGGGGGCACAGTGGGTTTATCAGTTTCTTACTGGAAACAGCTGCCTGCTGCATCTGGTTAGGAGATTAATGAGAGAGCATTAAAGTTGCAGGCCCTACAAAACCAAAACAACAAGCTGAAAGATGATAAAATGCTCCGCAGGACTGAGGGGAGCAACAGATTGAGTTAATAGTTTTCTGTGGGTTCATCACTACAACCCGTTTCACATTATACAATACATCATTTGATCCATTGTTGATATGAAATATAAAATAAATAAAATATTGACTAGTGCATCTTTAATCTTCAATAGCACTACACGAACACTGTCCTTGGGCTGTAAGTGAGAGTCATCAGAAGATATTTGAAAAACACTTTCACATGATTTTGACTGCTCAAATCGACAACTTCTGTGTTTTGAGTTGACTTTTAAAGCAAGTTTCTCAGTCTGAGACTCTTGAAAGCCTCCCAGCTAGTGATTTTCATGCAGGCAAAAGCAAAACATGTAATTTCCGGGTATGCCTCAAACTCCTAGATGTAAGAATGACTTCCTTTGTTTGGTTCTTCTGTGATTTTTTTTGCTGACGTCCATCTGCTGCTGACTCATTGAGCCCCGTCATGGTGAGACTAAGTACCAGTCAGGAGAGAACAATTACGTACAGGTCCCGTCAGTCAGCGACCTCTGAGAACCTGCTTCACCTCCACCTCACAGCCGCACACCCTCTGTCCGTCTCCCTCTCCCCCCTGTCATTTCACACACAGTCACCCTTGTTCTTCTCCTGCAGATGTGGACGAGTGCGCGACCAACACCCACAGTTGTCGGCCCAGCGAGGGCTGTGTGAACACAGTGGGCTCATTTGTATGCGAGCTGCGGGTCACTTGTCCTGCCGGCTACCAGCTGAGGAATGGTGTTTGCGAGGGTGAGTTCATTGTTCCTGATGTATTTCATTAAGCCAATTTACCCAGCAGTCATTTCCAGAGCCACTAAAGTAGTCGGTGGAAATGCTGATGATGTCTTCTTCAATATGCAGTGCAGGATTTTTTTAACTTGTTTTTAGTGGTGAGAGAGCAGAAATAAGACAGTATAGGACAGTAAAGCAAAACCACAGCCCTATCGCCAGACAATAACGTCAATGTTGGACGGTTCAGGAAATGCCTGGATAATTTTCAATGATAGTGTGGTTTTTTGTTAAGTCAAATGCCAATGGGTTTTAGAGGGAAAATATTTTTTTTTGCAGTTAAAGGTTATATATATGAAATTCTCTTCCCACTGGGTGTCGCACTACAGCACCAGCATCCCAGAACAAAACAATTGGACAAAATAAAATAAAACTCACTGTCTTTCCACAGTCTTTCCAACAATCGCAAACTCTGGTTTGTTTGAAATAAACCCCTTGTTCACCGATTTAGATGTGCAGGGCAGCAATGGCCGAAACGTAAGCTAACATTAATCATTAGGGACAAATGCGCCCGTCAAAGTGAGATAGACCTAATATCGTAACTTAATTCAAAGTGGACAGAAACAACATAAAGCTCACCAAAACCCTCTTTCTTAGTCTTTCCACTGCTCCAACAATCACCAACTCTGGTTTGGTCGAATTACATCCTTCATTCAGCAGTGTAGATGATAAAAACAGCAACAGCAGTTTCAGTCACTCTACACAGCTGCACACAAGCACAGAGAGGCTGCGATAGCAACAAAGGCAGAGGGAGTGGGATGTCATTCTCTCTCATACCTTTAAAATAAAAAGCAAACGTGAATTGCAGGTCTGTGACAAGATGTAAATTCTGGTCTCCTGCATGAAAGTCCAGTGCTACATGCCAGTCTAACACGCAGACCTCACCCACTACAGGTAGGGCTCTTCCTTCATTGGCACTGAACATTGGCCCTGGACCAATTTGGACATGATACCTGCGGCTACTGGGCTGCAATACATCTGGCTGAAAATACTCATTCATATGTAGCTGCAGCCTTCGTGTTGTGTGGTTCTAAACATCACCTTCAGTGTATTTCCACTTCATAACACAACTGGGCACTTACGTTTGGCCGAGGCTCTTGTTTGTGTTGGAGTGTGTTACTTAGTTTTGCCAGTTTCTCTGCAGTTTAAAGATCCAGCAACCAGCTGCAGCACACAAGTCCAACACCCTTGGCCCAAACTGAGGCACTGCGTAATCAATGCTCATACATACTCACACAGGCTATTCTGGTCCTTAAGTTTGTCATCACATCCCCTCTATTGCTCTTCCTAATTGTATTGCCAAAAACCAGGAGTAATTTGTCCTTAAAGGGCCCCTTGAGCACTCACACGTCCCTGAATACAAGACTGCAGTGCTGTACATCATGGATAGGTGTTGAGGCTGTTGGAGTGTCCTGGCATTATTGATGGCAGACAGTTGTTTTCAAAGGCTCTTTAACAGGACCAGAATATATTTAGACAGCTCATTTCCACACTTTGTCCCTGTTTAGATGACTACAATCAACATTAGTGACATACAAATCTACACAAATCCTGTGATGTGTATTATTTACAGTCATTTTCATTCCTGAGTCTGTGGTCATGACTTCAACTCAGCTCAGTCAGCGAGGCTTCATTAAGATTTATGCTAATGTTTTTCTGGCCCCAGTAGTGATATTTGTGTTTCAGCAGATACCCAGGTTCGGTATATGACAAGATAATCACCCAGAGAGGCAGCATTGCGCGGGCGTTAAAGCACTTTGAAACTCTGTGACTTGTGTCATCAGCACTTGGCACCAAGGAGGACTAATCAATGTAGCTAGATAATGAAGGTAAAATTTAGTCGACCATCCAACGGGGGGAAAACTAATTAGGTGCATGAAAGAAAGGCGAGATCTCTCGCTGTGGTGTTGGAAATTTACCCCTGCTGATGATGATCGGTAGAGAAAACTCAAATTAAGACCTTCCGCTTGTGTGCCACAGGACGAGTCCCAGAGGACCCGATATAATGTGGACTCTCGAGAGACAGGCTCGCAGCACAATAGAACAAATCTTCCATTTAAACCCCATCCATCGCTCTTGAGATTCAATAACAGTCATTTAAGAAGTTTTGTTCAACTTCTGTTAATTGCAGAGTTGGAAGGGGTGATATTTTTATGTGAGGGGAATTCTTCCTCCAGTTAAACACTGACAGAGTGAAAGTTTGAATTTCTTGGATGCTGCACATGTTTATTCTGTGCTTGAGCCACAGTGCCACCTACTGTACGGCTTACAAGCTGAGAGCTCAGACTGAAGCTCAGGGAGATGGCAGCAGTCTTAAACTCTTTACAGTTTAATAAAGTGTGTATTATTTTGTCAGGATGACTCAGTGAATGTATGTTTATCTGTTCTTTCCTGCAGACATTGATGAATGTGTTCTGCGAACCCATAACTGTGGTGTGGGCTTTGTGTGTGAAAACACAGTGGGCTCTTTCCTGTGCAACATCAAACACAAGTGCATTAGTGGCTTCACACAGGACTCCCATGGCAACTGTATCGGTAAGAGACTGTTAGCGCTGCTCTCTGTTGGCTAATGGAAACTCACAACGCATGACCATTAAAGCTGCAGTAGGTAACTTTTATAAAAATATCTTTTTGTCATATTTGCTGATACTGTTACTGTGTCCTGACAGTAGAACATGAGACAGATAATCTGTGAAAAAATCAGGTTCTCCTGGCTCCTCCTAGTGCTCCTAATGGTATTTGTAAGAATCCACCGGGCCTGCACGAAAAAACTAATCAGAGTCAAGAATGATAGCTGATATTTAGTATTTGAAATCCTGGGAATAAGTCTCAACAATCAGCCATCTTCAAGCATTTTAACTGTCGACTTGTTCCTGGTCATTAGAATCACTTATTATTTGATAAGAAAGCCCAAAGCGTCAGTATTCTACAACCTGGGAATGAGACTCAACGATCAACCATATTTCTCAGTGCTGACTATCAACAATAACATCCCTAGCTTGCGTCAGACCAGGAACCTTTATTGCAATTCATTCCCCAGTTCTCTCCTCTCATTTCCTAAGGTTTTAAAGTTTTTTAAAGTTTGACATTTCAAGAAATGCTTTTGAGAAGTGCTTTCTTGCTGGGAGATAACAAACATATAATCTGTTTAAATAGAAATCCTCTACAACAAGACATAATTTTAGTTTAGCATAAAGACTGTCAGCAAGGGGAAACAAAAAACAAAGTGGAAAAACGAGAAGTTGTGGTTTTATGGTGGGTTTTGTGCTGGGTTATATCTTGGTTGTAACCTCACGATGACAAGACTCCAGGGGTTCCTCCTGCACCCGGCCAAGAAATAGTAACCTCTAATAAAACACTTATACAGATTAAACAAATGACATGCTAGCTAATTACTTACAATTTGTTTAGCAGTGTGTAGGGAAACATTATCATCTTGGAATGGCGGGGTTCACCCCTGGGTGCTCCTGATATCATAAAAGTGCCTCATATACCTCGGCTGATGTACAGCCACGCGGAGCAAAGTAATCACAGAGCCTAATGTGTCCCAGCAGATGATTGCACATACATTACAGATCTATCACTGAGGGTGGAGGGCTTCCTTCAGCTTTCTCCAAATGGAAACTCCAAATTAAAATCTTCTGTTTCTTCTGTGTTTTTGCAAATGTTAATTATGATACTTCAGACTAACCCCTCTTGTCACATTTTTGCTCCTGCTCTTCAATCAGTTTGTCATTTTCTCACTGGATGCGCTGTATCACATCCACGTCCACCTGACTGCATGCACGTGTTAAATCCACAGTTCATTATCTGCTTCATACGAGTATTGGGGCCACTATATATTAGGAAGGCATGATTACAGACAACAAGTCAACAATACAACACCATGTAATTGTTCTGTTAAAATGACTGCGAGCAAGTAGTCATAGGTAGGCCTGTCAATCAGGATTAAACCTCCTAACAATCATTCTCCTGTGGAACTGTCATTGTTTCAGCTGTCTTGAGACTTGATTCTCTCTCTCTGTGTGTTTCTGCAGACATAAATGAGTGCAGCAGCCTGAGCGAGCCATGCAGCTCTGGCTTTAACTGTATCAACACGGTGGGCTCCTACACGTGCCAGAAGAAGGTCGTAATGTGCAGCCACGGCTACCACGCAAGCCCTGATGGAGCCAAGTGTGTCGGTGAGATTTACCTCTTAAACACAACAGCACAGACGAAGGGGGCTGGCAGCTATGGAAAGATGTGAAGGACACAAGTGCTCAAATGCATAGTTAAAAAATGCCAAAATAGGGAAGAACGAGCCAGTTAGGATTCAATTCAATTGAATTCAGTTTTATTTTTTATAGCGCCAATTCATAACAGAAGTTATCTCAGTTATCTATTTTCAAATAGAGCAGGTCTAGACCGAACTCCTTATAACATTATTTACAGAGACCGAACAGTTCCCACCATGAGCAAGCACTTGGCAACAGTGGCAAGGAAAAACTTCCTTTTAAGAGGCAGAAACCTAGGACAGACCCTGGCTCTAGGTGGGTGGTCGTCTGTCTCGACCAGTTGGGATGAGAGAGAGAGAGAGAGAGGGAGAGAGAGACAAAGGTGCACAGCAACAACAGTAGCAACAACTACACTAATGGTAGTGACTGATGATGATGAACATGAAGAAGATGATGACGACGACGACAACAACGATGGGGGACAATGAGCAGTGATTATAGTAATAATAGTATCCGTAGTAATAATAATAGTAATAATAATAACACTAATATCAGTGATATTAGCAATGGGAGTCAAGCAGGACCATGGTAGGAGGCTCCACCAGGATCCATGAGAACCTGCAAGACGAGAAAGCACAAGAAGTGAAGAAGTGAAGTTAGTAACATGCATTAATGGGACATGAATGTGTGCAGAAAGAGAGAGAGAGGAAGAGAGGAGCTCAGTGCACCATGGGAAATCCCTCGATAGTCTAGGCCTAGAGCAGCATAACTAAGGGATGGTTCAGGACTCACCTGATCCAGCCCTAACTATAAGCTTTATCAAAGAGGAATGTCTTAAGCCTACTCTTGAATGTGGAGAGGGTGTCTGTCTCCCGAACCAAAACTGGTAACTGGTTCCACAGGAGAGGAGCTGGGTAGCTAAAGGCTCTGGCTCCTGTTCTACTTTTAGATACTATAGGAACCACAAGTAGCCCTGCATTCAGAGAACGTAGTGTTCTAGTGGGGTAATAGGGTACTATGAGCTCTTTAAGATATGAAGGGGCCTGACCATGAAGAGCTTTGTAGGTGAGGAGGAGGATTTTAAATTCTATTCTGAATTTTACAGAGAGCCAGTGCAGAGAAGCTAATACAGGAGAGATATGATCTCTTTTCCTAGTTCCTGTCAGTACTCGTGCTGCAGCGTTCTGAATTAATTGTAGTGTCTTTATAGACTTATTGGGGCAGCCTGATAATAAGAGTTGCAGTAATCCAGCCTAGAAGTGACAAATGCATGGATTAGTTTTTCTGCATCCATCTGTGAAAGGATGTGTCTAATTTTTGTAATATTGCGTAAATGAAAAAAGGCAGTCCTAGAGTTCTGCTTTATGTGGGAATTAAAGGACATGCCCTGATCAAAGATAACTCCAAGATTTCTGTCAGTGGTGCTAGAGGCCAAGGAAATACCATCTAGAGTAACTACATCTTTAGAATTTGAGTCTCTTAGGGTTTTTGGGGCAAAGCACAAGAATTCCATTTTTTTCTGAGTATAGCATCAGAAAATTGCAGCTCATCCAGGTTTTTATGTCCTTAAGACATGTTTGTAACTTAGATAACTGATTAATTTCATCGGACTTGATCGACAGGTATAACTGGGTATCATCTGCATAACAGTGAAAGTTAATGGAGTGATTCCTAATAATATTGCCTAAGGGAAGCATATATAAAGTGAATAGAATTGGTCCAAATACAGTTCCTTTAATGCTGATTAGATGCTCAAGTCTCTGTAATAGAATATGATGGTCAGTGGTGTCAAATCCAGCACTAAGAACTTATAATACAAGTAGAGAGACAAGTCCATTGTCGGATGCAATTAAAAGGTCATTATTAACTTTAACCAGTGCTGTCACTGTGCTGTGATGAACTCTTAATCCTGACTGAAAATCCTTAAATAAACTATTGCTATGTAGAAAGTCACACAACTGTTTGGCGACTACTTTCTCCACATCTTAGAGAGAAAGGGGAGGTTAGAAATTGGTCTATAGTTGGCTAAAACCCCTGGATCAAGAGTGGGCTGGATCAGTTATATGGAGGCCAAATCATTCAAAAATGAAATAAAAAAAGAATACCTTTTAATACAAATTATTATATGGATAAATACAGACACATTATTTGATATAACTTGTGTAATGATAATTGTTTTTAGTAACTCACCTCATCATTATAATTTCTTCACAGAGTTCATTGCAGGTCATTTAATTAAGAAACAAAATACAACCCCTTTACTCTCTGTGCCTTACTTTGCAACCAGATTATGCAACGCTTAACTAGCAAAAGTGTCCTAAATGCACTTTCGATTGTTTAAATAGGTCCAGAGAGTGAGCAAAAGAAAGATATGTGAATGCATTTCTGAGTGTGTGTCTGGTTGTGTGAGTAGGAGTTTGGCTGTGTTTAAGCTCAACCCATTCAGGTGCAGAGTGGGTCATTGCTGAGGTGCTTTATCTTTCTCTCTGCATGTCTAGACATTGATGAGTGTCAGATGGGGACGCACCGCTGTGGAGTGGGCCAGATCTGTCACAACCTCCCTGGCAGCTACCGCTGTGACTGTCAGACGGGCTACCAGTATGATGCCCTCCGCAAAGTCTGCACCGGTACGTATTGCTGTGTCAGGTCTGTGAGATGATGACGAGCAGATTGGAGGTTTAGTCGTCAAACTGTTTTTGAAGCCAGCGTTGCTCTGGAGGCAGAAGAAAATCTCACTGGTTCAGTTAAGCCTCAGTGTGCAGGGCCAAGAAAAAAAAGTTTTTGCTTTAAATGTGATGTCAGATTTGACTAATTAAAACAAGGGTGGACACTTCTGTCAGACTTTTAATGATAATTAGTGCTAATTGTGTGAGGGTTTACATTTTTTGGAACTGCAGCACAGTGATAAAAATATAGATTAAGTTAAAACACTGAAACAAGAAAGGTTCTGCTATTATTGCTATTATATTATATATATATATATATATATATATATATTGATTGATTGATTGATTGATTATTGATGTTTGCACATTCTAGTATTTTTGGGTATGGATGTCACATTTTTTATCCTTTTTTCAATCTGGAAAACAGAATAAATAATGTAAGTCTAAAGCCCAGTGAAAAAGGCAAGAGAGCCTCTTGTTACAGTTCAAGGTACTAGGCAACAGGAAGGAGTGGGTTTCCATCCATGTGTTACTAAGTGGTAACACTGAAAATAAAAATAAAAACTTAAAATATTACAAAAATGTTTGTATGGGTGGGCCAAGAAGTACATTCTAGTGTACATTCCTCCCACAACACCTCCATCACTCTATGAGGAGGAGGCAGTGGACCAGTTTGTGGAGGAGGAAGACTAGGTTTGAAGATGTGTTCCAAAATCCAAGATAGATGGGTTCCCAGACAACGTTACAGCGAGACTTGAACGAACTGGACTGAGATTGTATATGAACTGCCCACTTTGCGAAACGACAGGTGACAAATTCAGTAACATAAGCTTTTGTTCTTTTAACACATGTATGGTTTGGGACCCATCCACAGTTAAAACCACTGTGAAATGTTTGGCTAATTGTTAACTAGATGTATGCAGGAGTATGAAAGATTTCACTCTAGTCACTCTACATACGTGGCTGAATGGGAACTGGCGTTGAGTCCTCTGTGGCCTGGAGGTATCTGTCTGTTGTCTAATGGCTCCTACTCCTGCACTGACAGATGTAAATGAGTGCTGGCGCTATCCTGGCAGGCTGTGTGCCCAGACCTGTGAAAACACCCCAGGCTCCTACCACTGCTCATGCACAGCAGGATTCTCCCTAGCATTTGATGGGAAAAACTGTGAAGGTAAACAAGACTGTTTTTTTTTTCTCTAACATATTGAGAATTTAAATGCCACCTCATTTAGATGGTCTGTCTTATTCCCCTTGAAGAACGTAAGACGTAGAGGTGAGCCTCTGGGGAGAGCGTTGGCATCAGAAGCTAAATGCAGCCTTCACACAGACCTTGGAGATTGTATATATTGATAGGAAACTGTTTATGAGTCTTTTGGAAGTCTTTGTTATCAGCAAAACCTGTTTTCTGTTGGAATTTAATTTAGTCTCCATCTCCTGGATGCTGAGGCGTCTGGCATGCATGCATAATGGCCCCCAGGTTCAGGTGCTGTCACTTATCACTGTGTTGAAGATGTGGTTGTGCTTTAGAGAGCAAAGCTGACCAGGAGCGTGATTCACATTAGGTTCAGCTTGTCACAGGAATTATTCAGGGAACTTAATCAAGTTGTGAAGGTTTCTGCTCACGATCCAAAGGTGAAGCATTTTTCAGGTTTTTTTTCATAAAAGCTTGCTGAGCGACTTGATTACATTTTGATTGGTGCTTTTCAGATTAATTTGTTCCAGACACTTGAAGCTTTCTTTTCTTGGGGAAGCAGTTTCATACCAAAGAGTGTTAGAAATCATAATTTCACCTTACAATATTCCACAATGCACTTACCCAAAAACACTACCGTAGCTCCCTTTCCCTTTCGATGATGTTTCTGTTGGTGGTGCTCATTTCTTTGTCTTCTGAAATGGTGGAGTTTTTACATCATAGCATGAGGCTGTCAATATTTTATATTTTTGATTCCTTGGAAATACCGAATGAATATATAGTTCATTTTGACCCAACCCCACATGCACTGTCCTGATGACCCAAATACTCACTAGAGCACTAGATGTGTATTAATCCACAGCTGAAAATAGTCCCCAACAAATAACCTCCTGTTTGAGCAATGTTTGCTAAAAACTACAATGCCCAGCAGTTTTGGAAAATACCTAGACTTTTAAACTTTTAAAAATGTAACTATAACAAAAAAAAGCTTTTGATTTTAAAGCTTTACCTCTTCTGAAGGAACCAATGGGCTTGGAGGAGAGTGCCACAGACTGGGTAAGGCTGCCAGAGAGTACTGAGAGACAAGCTAACACATTTTTGGGGAAGAATTCAGCACACGTGTCAGCAGTGGCAAAAATTTACGTATGGTGTAACATGGGCTTTGCAAAATCAAAAAAACAAAAAAAAAGTCTCTTGCAGCCATACCCCAAACCCAACAAGAAGTCTGCCATTTTGAGTTTAGTGGGTTGAGGTACTCTCTTTGGTCAGCAGAGCATTAAGACGTTGATGATGATATGTTACGAATCGGGAAGAATTCTAATCATGTCTTTATCTTTTCTGTGCTTAGATGTAAATGAATGTGACAAAAACCCCTGTAGCCAAGAGTGTGCCAACATCTACGGCTCATATCAATGCTACTGTCGCCAAGGCTACTACCTGAAAGAGGACGGACGCACATGTGAAGGTATTTTCTACCAAGGTCACTAGGTAGAGACTGGTGGAGACCAAACTCTCAAAGGACAGTGAATATATGACTTGCATCAGCCAGTTGGACAGACACTACTTCATATGAATATTATACGTGCAGTACAATATGTTGCTCCAGGATTTCCAACACACACTACAACTTTATAAGACAGTAATATTATAAAGGTACACTACAAAAACTGACACACTATAACAGTAAAAGATGAATTGTGAATAGGTTAAATACAGTTTCTGTGACAGTGAAACACTGGCATATCTCATCTCAAAACATTTATTTATATAGCATGTTAAATTAATTCATATTGAAAATTATATATTACAGCATGTAAATTACACACAAAACCACCATCATATGTCATGGCAAAAACTGGTACATTAATATATGGAGTAAAAAATCCAACTTAAAATCAACAGTACTAATATGATTTTACCATAAAAGCAGAAAAAGTTCTGCCGTAACCACAGGTTTTTTTCTACAGTGCAGGGACTCCTGTAAAATCAAATGCAAGCCACTACAACAGCAGAAACATTAATGCAGGAGACGCTGATACAAGCACATACACCCTTCGTCCTGCACTCATGGATCTAGTAAGGAAAATATGGTATAGTCACGTAACAAATCTACATAGAGACGCTTGAAATAAGCCTTCAGCAGTAGTTAGCTAGTAGCCCTATCTCTGTATTTCTTCTCTGTATTGAAACAGTACAAAAAATAGACAAACCCTGGCAGTAGAATCACTATGGAACCACCAATATTTACCAAATCAGGACTATATTTCCAATTGTGCAAAAATGCAGTGAAATCTCAATGCCAATGCAATGGTTGTAAAAGTGATGCAGATCAGGTCAGTTTCTGCACCTTAAGGTACAAGGTATTTTGCAGAACACTGGTCAAAATAGAAAGCAGACCAAATAGTTTTAATATATTCATAACATATACTGTACACATGTGCAGCGTAGCACAGTAAAGGAACAGAACAGCTGTTGGGCACTCGCTTCAGCACCCAACAGATGATCTTGCAGAGACTCTAGTTGATGTACCTCAGCAGTAACTGAAAACTATTCAACACTGAAGCTCTGTAGGGGCAGGGAGGGAAACAGAACATAGGAAACACAGTGGACACTTTACTGTCAGAACTGAAAGGTTGACCACCTAAAACAACTCACATTGCTTACTAATGATCAGTAGCTGTGTTTCCATCACATTATTCTAAAGTATCAATAGAAACAGTTTCGCAAAAAAGTGCTTGAGTTAATGCACTTAATGGGAGATTGAAACCTGAATATGTTCTGACGTAGTGATATTAACTCACTTGATGAGCTGTTTCAGCTCTCCTCATCGCTCCTGTGATCACTCCACACAGATCGGATGGAACCTTCCTCACATTAATAAAAACAGAAATGTCATACTTGTTTGAGGATCGATTAGCACTCTTTGAATTATGTCATCGTGTGTCCTCTTCTTCTGGTTTTTTGACTGGAGAATTGGCGCCACCTACTGCTTATCTCAATGAATCAACTCCTAATGTTGGCATTACAGTAGAGGATGGAAACAGGCATTCATTTACATCATGTTTTACCAAACTACTCAAACTGTGGTTAAAATTTGGAAACACTGTTAATGAGACATATTATTTAGTCATTGATCCAAACTATGTATCCATGAATGCTGAGACCAGATTGACAGCAGCTGTGTGTTTGTGTGTGTGTGTGTGTGTGTGTGTGTGTGTGTGTGTGTGTGTGTGTGTGTGTGTGTGTGTGTGTGTGTGTGCAAGCAAGAGAAAAAGTCCCACTGCTTTATTTGAACCTGCCGTTGGCTGTGCTCTGACTGATGAGACGTGTGTTGTTCAACAGATATTGATGAGTGCTCCCAGAGCATCGGGAACCTTTGCGCCTTCCAGTGTGTTAATGTTGCAGGCAGCTACCAGTGTGCCTGCCCCCCTCATGGATACGTCATGTCCGCCAATGGACGCACCTGCAGAGGTGAGCCTTCAGTGAACATACAGTATTGTATACAGTATTTTTATTTAGTTATTTTATTAATTTTTTATTAATCTTGCTCATACACACTGTAATAAGAAAATGTAATGAAGTCTCATCTCGTCTCAACCATAGCTGTACTTCTAGTTGCCTGTATTTACTTAGTTACTCACTTTTTGTTATTGTATTTTGGTTTTTTTTATATTTTCTTCTATGTTTTATAATTATGTGTGTGTTTGGTTTTTGGTGTTATTTTTTTAAATACCCCAGTTGCTGTCAATATTTGTATTGCCTTGATATGTCTCATATGTCTTCCTGTCTTAAAGTTAATCATGTATCTTGCACTATCAATTAAAAAAAGGGAACTAAGAAGTTTTAATTCCCATTAAACTGCAGTCTGACAGAAGAGACATGCTGTTAGGGGGGTTGTCCCACCTGTCAGTGTGGTTATCTGTTTCATTAATTTATTATTTTTTCCAGATATCGACGAATGCACAACTGGCACCCACAACTGTTCATATGGACAGACCTGCTACAACCTACAGGGAGGCTTCAGATGTCTCTCCTTTGACTGCCCTCACAACTACAAGAAGGTTTCAGACACGTGAGTCACATCTTTTTCTCGACATCTTCAGACTCTTCAAATCTTTAACTCCAATGTTGCCTTTTTCTTAGCTTTTTAAAATTATATATAAGTTTTATTTATGGTTATTTTGCAGTATTCTGGCCATCTAAACCCTGACATACTGCCCCTTTAAGCACTGACCTGTCTCTGTGGGATTTTTGGATTTCGAGGTTTTCTCTCTGCCTGTGCTCCTCTAATGATTAGTACTGTACATCCATGCCCTTGCAGTGCAGTGTGCTGTACAGAAGAGCCTTGTTAGCTGTGAACCTGTTGCAGCTGTAGAGGCTGGCCGGTAACTGAGCATGACTCCCATCGAGCGGTGCGATGAAGTCAGATGGCTTTCATCAGCTTGGTGCTTCCCGGGGCCGTCTCCACAGCTCTCCCTGCTCTGCACTCCAGTGGACACAGCCCACAGGAGGCGTCTTATCAATGCTATCAAGAGACACCTTATTAACCTCGCTGTGACGTGGCCTGGATCGGCACGTAGAGACATCTTTCATTCATGAGTGGACTTGGCAGCCCCAGACACAGCTGAGATTAAAACGTCTCCTGGTCTGCCTTTAGTGCCACCCTAAGATGTGCAAATTTTATGGTGCACTACATCAAACTTTATTCCGGGCTGTAAATTCTGATATGTGATGGAAAAGCAGTCAGAATACAGACTGGGAAAGAGCTACAAGTGGCCACTGGAGGACGCCAGCTTTCTCCACTGGCACTTGTTGCTCTGTCTTGTTTTCCTTAAATCTGTGCAGTGATGGGGACTAGCAATGCTACGTATAGCGATGTGACTAGTTTAATTCCATTTCCCAGTTGCAGTCTGGTAGTTTATAATTGTATAGCCCTAGTTCCCACGACAAAAAGCCAATGGGATTTTTCCAGTAGATTTGGGATTTTGGAGTAAAAAGCTAACGTTAGGATATAAACGAACAAATGGTCTGTTATGTGTTGACAGTACATTTTTTATTTGAAAAAGGTACTTACACTGAAAAAAGCCACATTGGAACAAATTTTAAAATTTCGAATAAAAGGTTACAGCCCTAGTACTTTATGTGGTAGGTCAAAACATGAAAATCTCTTCAGCCTGTGTTAAACACAGACCGTATTTTAGGCATCTAACCAAAAAACCCATTAAAAAGCCCACTGACTTCCAGACAAGAGAATCGGAAGTGCAAAAATGCTAACTAATTAAGGTTTTTCTGAAGCATTCATTCAGCACTCAGTTGTGAAATCAAGTTTTCTATGAAGTAGCAGGGTATTGCTACATTTTATTTGCTGCACAGATTCTGCATCCACACTACTCCCCATTCTGATTCAGCTGAGTCGGTCTGTGTATGCAGACAGAAGGAGGGAAGTGAAACTGAAACTTAACTTCATTTATTGTGTTAATTAAGTCCTTGGCATTCATTAATCAGTGAAGTGTGTGGAACTACACAGCAAACTGGAGTCTCTCACAGTTGTTGTAATAATGACAACAACTAATGTCCCATACTGCAGAAACCTTTCTTAGAGCTGACTTACTGGCCATATCAAACATTATGCAGAACAACCATTTTAAAAACCTACAGGCTACAGTGTGAGCAGTGGTTAGATCACTACAGAGAATAACCAACCGGACTGCTAAATCTCGACGTTGATTGTTTCACCCAGCAAAGGATTTACAGTTTGGTATATTTTTTTTTTCACACAGAACATGGAGGACATGACAACCAAAACCAGACCTCCATTTAATCTTTGTTTATATGTATTAACTATATAATATTAAATAATATATTAAATATATAATAGTTAATATACAAGTATAAAATGTACATTGGTAAAAAAAAAACAATAATTACACAGTTAAACATTTAGTTTAAGGACCAGTGTGTAGGATTTAGTGGTATCTAGTGGTGTAGTTGCATTTAGTTTTGCACTTTGACATGAGAACAACCAACAGGTAGCTAGTATTCAGAGAGTCTAGGGCCAGACCATGAAGTGCTTTAAAAGTCAAATTAGTCACTGGAAACAGATACTAGACTCAAAGCTCGACAGGAGCAAGATACTGAACATACTTGTTTTTACCAATAAACACACTTACAAACACTGTTGTTAAAGTACCAGTGCATAGTCTATCAAGTACCTAGCCTCCAAATACTGTCTCGCTCATCCATCCTCTTCCCTCTTGTCTCTCTTGACCTCTTTAGACGCTGTGAGCGAACCAGCTGTCCCAGTAACTCTGTAGACTGTCAGAACTCCCCCGTCCGCATCACGTACTACCAACTCAGCTTTCAGACCAACATCATCATCCCCGCCCAGATCTTCCGGATCGGACCGTCCCCGGCCTACTCCGGCGATCACATCGTCATCGGTATCATCAAGGGCAACGAGGAGGGCTACTTCAGCACCAGGAAGCTGAACAGTTTCACAGGCGCTGTGTACCTGAAGAGACAAGTCCGCGAGCCCAAAGACTTCCTGATCGATGTGGAGATGAAGCTGCTGAGGCAGGGGACGTTCACGTCGTTCCTCGCCAGAATCTACGTCTTTATCACGTCCAGCACCGTGTAACACCGGAGAGAAAGAGACAGAGAGAGGGACTGGAAATTTCAGATGGTGCTAAACTTTTATATGTGCAGACTCTTTTTGTAATGCCTTCCCACAATCAAGCATTATTCAAGAATCTTGTAAAATGTTGCCAGAGACCTTACTGTTGGCTTCTTTTGTCTTTGGCAGGTTATCTGCTTGTTTCTGCAGACTTTTTATGGCAATTATATTTCCTGAGAAACTTTGTATTTCTATTTACCAAAGCATTTTTCAGTTCAACTCTTGCTAACAGAATTTAGCTTGTATGCACCAGTATTGACAGGGTTTTCTACTCCTCTTAGTTTATACAAACGGTGGCAAGGTGCTGCATAGGTTGCTGCACAAGTCTGGGTGGGTGGTTTGTGCTCTGCTCCACTCTCTTTAAGAACGGAACTGTTTGACCACCCTATGTAAATGTTCATTTTTAAGACAATTATTCATGAATTTCAAGTTTGAAGAAACTAATAAACCTTTACAGCACTAGAATTTAAGGGCACTTGTCACTATGGAGGCCCAAAACTGACTAAATGTAGTTAAAGCCTATAAGATGAGTCAAAAACATGTACTGAATACATCCATTTTTAAAATATTCATAACTGAAATATTATTATTTTTTAATTTTTGAATAGAAGATTATTATGAATAGAAATTATATTTTTTCTTTCCAATTGGTTGCTAAAAAGAAAAACAAAATATTTATTTTCTTTTACCACTAATCCATTAACAGAAAAAAAATTATTAACTTAATTTGTAAGGGCAGGGATAACTGTGGTAAGTGAGTTAAATGAGCACATTGATAGTTATTTTTTCTCTTAAGTATGGTCAAGAAAGCGAGTCTATACTCAATAAAGTATATGCGGAGCCCCGTAGAGAATATTTCTCTTTTTCTAGCTTAAGACAGTATGTCTTTGAAAACTCTATTTATATTGAAATTATTTTCCACTTGCTAATTTTATTTTTCAACTTTTTTTTGGCAGAAATGTAATCATTTATCTGTTTCCCTAATGCAACATTTCCTATATACCTCACACTTATATGAGAATGAGATGGGTGTGTTCATGTAAATCCAGGCCAAAGATCGATCCATTTTGGGAGTCTGTAAAAGTAAAATAAATTTCAACAAATAACAAATTTAATTTGTTTTAAATTAACAAACAGTGTCATGTATTGATGTATTCAGTTATAGTTTATATTCACTTTTGGCAGTTTTGAGCCTCCACATTCACCATCCAAATTTGCGAATGTGGTTAAGAAAAAAAGTAGCAGAATCGTCAAATAGTGCATTTTGTTCAACATTTGGTGTATATTATTTTTTTAAAGATGTGATCTGATTAAATGTTAGTGTTGTAATTCAGTGCAAATCACACTAGAAACATTAACGAGTCATTTATGGTAAATTCCAGCACTGAGAATTATTAATGTAACTGTTGATCATTGTATTGTCATTGTATTGAAGTGTCATATTCTTTCCTTTATTACTGGACATATCTTTCTATGTTACTGTGTTGTAATTATCTCAGGGTAAAATTCATGTCATTTTGTATACGCTTGACAAATTCCCGTGTAGTTTGCAGGAATGAATCAGTCTGCTGTCGTAACTTCAGACTGGCCTCACGCAGCCTGTACAGTTTCAGCTGCCACACAACACTTGTATCAATAAACCAATCAATAAATGATGATCAAACTGTTGTCAGTTGCTCAATAAAAGCACAAATCTGATTCTAGAGTGTCAGTTTTTCCACATCAGTGCTGTACACTTGTGCTGTGGTATCGTTATTGTGAGTGAACAGTGAGCCAATATCGCCATCTGATGGTCAGATTGTGAACAGGTCAAGGCCAAACCACCTAATACTGCTCTATTCAAGGTCTATCTTTCAGCAAGGAAATTCAAAGTGCTTTATATGAGACTGAATTTCATGAAGAAAAGGTTTAAATGTGTCACCACGTTTTAATTAAGACCTTCTTTTGAAAAGAACTGCTTCACAGTTAGTCTGAGCAGTCCTTATCCTAACTGTTTTTATCACCTATTCCACTGCGCCACAAGGAACATTTAGTGTGTGTTACACCCTCAAACATTCCCACCCGGAAAGTGTATGTGTGTGTGTGTGTGTGTGTGTGTGTGTGTGTGTGTGTGTGTGTGCTTTTCTACCTCAGCCTATTAATACATCCCAACAGATAGCCTCTCAAATGGAAATTAGGGAGGTCACCATATATACATAAACACCACAGTCTGACGAATACAAGGTTTTATTTAGAAGATCACATCATCACTGATATTTTTGGGTGAGAAATTAACAGACAAACCGGCATAAAATGTTTTTGCTAAAGTGTTGAACCTCCAGAGCGCTGCTGCCTGGCATAGATTCTGTTACTGGAGGGATGAACAACATTCTTCCGAGGTGTTTTGGTGATGGTGGAGAGTGCTGTTGCTCCCAAATCCCACATAGTTGTTCAGCTGAGTTGAGATTGGGTGACTGTAAAGGTCAAAGCATATGATTCACATCCTTTTCATACTGAGACCATTCAATGAGCCCTCACGCCCTTTAGCCGCTATGTTCTTTTATTTATTTAGGTTTTCTGTTTAATTTGTCACCCATCTGCAGGTTTTCATTAGTAGTTAGTATTTGCACCTGATCTGTACTTTTGTCAGGATAGAAAAGCCCCAGAAGACCTCAAACTGCGCAACAATAATGAAGCACTGACATTAGGAAAATAACATGCCAAAAACATTTCATTTATGTGTTTATCTGTCAGATAAGAAACTTCATATTTGAACAACAATAAAGACGTCCAAACTTTATTGCAGTAATATTTTCTGACAGCTCAGTTTTGGTCTCCACCAGCTCGTAAGGAAGATATCTGTCTCTTTAAATGCTAAATGCTCCACTATGTTCACAAGCTTTGTCTGTCAGCTGTTTGGTGCTGAGCAAGTATGGTATCGTTGGTTTATCAGAACTGTTTTTGCTGAAAACAGCTGCCTGCTGTGGCTGGAAACAAAGTTGATGGGGCAGAGCTTGAGGGCCATAAAACCAAATCAATGAGATAAAAGATTTGTGCAGTTTTTTTGTGCCTATTGCTTTTGATTCATGGCCGCTTTAATGTTCTGAAGAAACAGACAGAAAGTCTTGAATGTAGAGTTCCAAGAGGCTTTCATCCAGCAGCCCACACACATTTCTGTTTCACCCCTGATAACCTCACTGCACTGACTTATGATGTGGTTTTATGTTTTGTAATCAGAGAAACAGTACTGACTGATAGCTCTTATGGTCTTATCTTCATTAAAATATCTCCATCACTGTTCTGATTTTGCCTCAGTCTTTGGTGCTGTGGTGTTTTTGCGCTGCAGATCATCTGTTGGTGCAATATTCTGAACTAGGAGTTTCTGCTGATTGTTCCCAGTTCTTTTTATTACAAACCACAAAAAAATGACTTCCAGTGAAAAACCTACCTCACTGAAAAGCAGAAAAAATTCGACACACATCTTAATTTATCTCTAGAAGTACAAAATGGCCCTTAAGGTCTGCTATGTTTTGTGTGATTGGACAGTTTGTTCAGGAAACTGCTACGCCAGTACAGTGGTGACACTGGTCTGCACTGGGCGGCCTCTTTCCTCTCTGCTGAAGCCCAAACACATCCGGCTATTGAGGTGGCGTCCCACACACGTTAGGGTGTGACCTCTGATTATCTATCTCAGCTTCAAAGGGTTATCAAGACAACTAAATACACGTGATGAGGTCCCACTGTGTTACTGTAACATGACAACAACCAGACCTCTGCTAACATTATTCTGCTAACGCCTAATGCGAACAGCTTTTCACCACATCTACGGTTAGTTTCTCTAAAATGACAGAGGTATCAAGCTTTTGCTTTTACTCTGAAACCCTCATCAGGAGCAGGTAGAGGTGGAAGGTGCTTGAATTAAGTCGATGTTGTCAGAAACTGTTTATAAGACATAAGATTGACTCGTACATTCGACACCAAATACTCCCAATGTCATGTGAAGAGTTTTATATCTGCTAATTGTTGTAGAGAAAAATAACTAACAGTGTTGAAAAGAAACAAAGTATTTTCATTGGGGCTATTTTTTCTAAAAACTTTTCTATATATACATCTTAATCTGTAATTACCGTTTATATATTATTAGTATTATTATCATAATAATAGATATTACAATACATCTATTATTATTTATCTGTTTTATCTGTTTGAATTTAAAAATCCTTTTTCTTTTTATTACTTTTCTATTTATTTACTTTGTGTATTTATTTATTTATCTCTACATTTTAATCTGTTTTATTAATTTGATCTGACTCATTATTATGAAATATACACATCTTTTTCCTATCTTTCTAATTCTGCCTCCAGTGTTTCCTCACTGCAACTGGATGAGATAGCACTTTCTCAGTTTGTGTTCTAATTTAGTTTTTTATTGATCACAAAAACATGCATTACTTTGTGTGGGTGGGTGTGTTGGGGGTGGGGGGGGGCTGTCTTAATGTGGGAAGCACTTTGTTTTACATTTTGTCAAACCTGCAATAATATTTTATTTGGTATTTGCATTTTATTTCGATATATTAAGTAAGAGTTTCCCATAAAATTCAGTGTGTGTAGAAGGGTTATCCCTCTTTACAGAGCTGCTGGCTCTTCAAAAGTGTTTAATTAGCCTGATTTCACTGGAGGGTTTCATTGTAGTGTCTCATGCTGGTCATAAATGTATATATGAGACATAAATGTCGATTGAGAGGATTTGACAGCTCGTAAGAATAAAATTGAGAGTAAAAGACAGACCCCTTAAATTATGGCGGTTCCATTACCAAAAAGACAGCCTTCAGAGAGCGACATCAGTAAAAGTCTAATAAAAGCACATCAGAGCTTAGGCAATGCAATGAAAGTGATCAGTGACCCTGACGTTGAGCGCTGAGGCCTACCGGCTTTGATCTTAAACGGAGACGTGAAGGAAGTGGAGCTCGGCTCTTACGGGTACACGGTGAAGAGGCTCAGAGCTTAAGCACTGTGTCGTAGAGAAATCCAGCAGATTTGACTTCAAACAGCTTCAGGCAGTTTACCAGATGAACTGAAGCTCCACGCTTCACTGCTTCAGACTGTATGCTAACTAATAGCTGCTGGAGTGTAACCACTGCACCCACTATATGGGCTGGTACTAGACCTACTAGACCATAGTATGGAGTGTGGACTGGTAGCTGGAGAGGTGCCAGTTCCACCTCCTGTGCACTGCCCAGGTGCCCTTGAGCAAGGCATCTAACCCCTAACTGCTCCTGGAGTCTGGTTCTTCTACGCTCATATGTATGGAAGCCCATTTCCGCCAATGTGATGGGGCTTCTATAAGTCATTGTAATGAGAAACTTTCTCAATATTTTATATTAGAATCTCAAAATAATGACATAGTATCACAAAGTCCTTATTTTGAGAAACTAAGTCAAGATATTGAGAAAGTTTCTAAATATTTTGAGAAAGTTTCTCATTATAACAACTTACACCAATCAGCCATAACATTGTGACCCCTGGGCACCCTGGTGGTCATAATGTTCTGCAGCCCATACTAACAAACTGTGATGCACTGTGTGTTCTGACACCTTTCTATCAGCATTAACTGTTTGATCAGCAGTTAAAGGGAGTTCAGTACCCCATACATTTGTTTCCTGACCCCGTAGTTCTTAATAGTACAGAGTAGTATAGAGTATCATCAGAGTAAAATGTGACAATATCCATTTTCTAATAAACTTTTAGTTAAAAAAAAACTTGTTATCTTACTCTTAAGATGAAAAAACATCTGAGGTTGTTATGTATATAGCTCGCTAATAAAAAGCAATAACTTCCATGACTAACAACTTAAGCTCCATTGTAAGTATGAGTACTTATAATGGTGTACTCACTTATTCCTGAAAACCTATTTAACTGTCCAAGTATCAAAATACATAAGTTTGAATGTCAATGTGATATCATGTATGAGCAGAATGGAGAAGGTTATGTGTTATTTGATTAAGATTTGGAAAGTAGCCTCAGTAGTGCCTTAACTCCCAGTTTCACCTTTTGCTTCTCCTTAGGTAACTTTAAGGTCAGAAAAATCATGAATCATATACATTCTATATCAGCTTGTTTTAAGTTATAAAATTTGATGTACACAGTGCACTGAGTGGTATGAGTTGTATGACTTTGTATGAGTTTGTTATATCCGAATAAAGTTATGTGGGTTGAAACAATCTTTGGATGCACAGAATATATTTGTAATGACTGACCAACTAGGCAAGACATAGTTGTGTATAATCACCTGAAAATAAGACCTGTTGTGCTTTCGTCAGCTTAGAATGAGCGGGTCCTCTTCTACAGAGGCCGACATGTTTCTACAGTAGCCAAGAACAGACAATCCAAACACTGACTCTAGATAGTGCCTTTTGCCATTTTTAGCGACCACTGTAGTTTCTCCTTCGCCCTTCTTTGGAACAAGGGGTTTCAGTTGGTTCCAATCTGCAATCTCACCACTAGATGTCACTAAATCCTACATAGTGGCCCTTTAAAGGTCCAGTATATAGGATTTAGGAGGATCTGTTGTCAGAAATGGAATATAATGTCATGGTACGTTTTCATTAGTGTATAATCACCTGAATATAGGAATCATTGTGTTTTTGTTATGTTAGAATGAGCTGTTTTTATCTGCAGATGTCTTCCATGGAGGCTGCCATGTTGAAATGCCATGTTTC